ATCAGCCCTACTTATTTCCTGCTAGGGATAATTCCACTATCTTCCTCCCCCCAACCCTCACAAGGCTCCATGGTCTTCCATCCTCAGACAACAGCCCTCCCTCAGTAGGGTCCTCCTGTGCCAGATGAAGTCATAGGCCCATGCCCAGGGCCTCAGCTCCTGGAGTCCTGTGATTATGGTATCAGATTCTCAGCATTAATTTTTTAAAAAAACATAAATGTCTAGTACTTGTGACTTGGAAGGAAAGTGTGAAAACATGGCCCAAGTGTAACCCGGGCAGCAAGTCTACCTGAGTCTCCTGAGAGCCTGGAACATGAGTTGGCTATGTGCATCTCAATGGGGTGTTAACTCCAAGACTCCCTGCCACCATTTCCGCAGAGGGCTTAGTGTGCATCAGGAGTAAGTAGCAGGCCCAACCGGCCTACATTCCAGCTGCTGAGGTAAGTACTGAAGGGCCCCTGCCAACAGGGGGATGAGGGGCACCGCTGCTGCTCCAGACATGGAGGGTGAGGGGATCCCCTGCTGCCACTCCTGGATGGGGCGAATGAGGCTCTTGGCACTGTCCCTGCCTCTGTGGGAGTGGAGGGGAGGCGCCCTGCAGCTGCAAGTGGGCCCACTGGGGTGGGGCCAGGGGTGGGGCCCAGCTGGAGAAGAGGATGAGCTGGCCCCAAGGGATCCTGTAGGAGTTGGGGGCCATTCAAGCGGTAGGATCAGTCCTGCCTCTCGTTCAAAAACTGCTTTTTGGTAATTTCCAGCCCCCTCCTTTCCCATGTAGTCAGGAGCGGAGCACAAAAGGGGGTGGAGAGGCATGAGGGGGAAGCAGATGAGTGGTGGGAAAAGAGGGGCACAAGGGGGGATCTGGAGGAGTCTCGAATAAATCCTCCCTAGCCCATCTACCAGGTTCCTAAAGCTCTGCTACGTCTTTCTGTGGATCCTGGTTACCAGACAGGGAGTCAGGACTCCTGGGTTCTATGACTCCGCTGTTCCCAAGTTGTTGTGGACACTCAGGCCTGTGCGCTCTTAGCTCCCCACGGTTTCCAGGGAGAACCCCAAGTGTGCCAGCCCTTCTCGAGGTCACCACCTCTTTGCCAGGGTCAAGCTGCCCTTGGACTGCTCGCTGCAATCCCCAGGGGAACCCTGTTACTGCAAAAGTCCTTCTCTCTCCTAGGGCCAAGCCGCAGGCTCCTCCGCCCCTGAGACTGCTCACCGCAGTCCCCGGGGGACCCCATTACTGCACAGTCCTTCTCGCTGGTCACACACTCCCAGGGGTTAACCGTCCCCCAAAACCGCTCCTCTCTGAGCCTTCAGCACGCCTGGTCCTCGTCAATCCCCCTTCGTTTTACTGCTCCCCAGTCACTTACTGCAGGAAGCGCCATCCATGGGGTGCAGTACATCCTACCGCTGCCACCACTTGTCACGGCGTCCCCGGGCGATGCTCTGGAACTGCTCCCCATGAAGCCAGACAGGACTCTGGGGAAGTCTCCTTTCTGTGAGCAGACTGTCTTCAGGACACACAGCTCACACAACTTCCACCTTCCTGGGTCTGACCTCGGAGCATTCAGCATCCTCTGCCCCTCCATGCGCTTCCCACAGCGAGTCCGCCCAGGCGGGGTCCTGGGGAAGCCAGAGGGTCCTGCACCCCAACTTTGCAGTCAGACGTGACTCTCAGCCAGCCAGTGAAACAGAGGTTTATTAGATGACAGGAACATGGTCTAAAACAGAGCTTGTAGGTGCAGAGAACAGGACCCCTCAGCTGGGTCCATTTTGGGGGGCATTGAGCCAGACAACCACATCTGCACTTCACTCCATGTCCCCAGCCAGCCACAAAACTGAAACTCTCTCCAGCCCCACCTCCTCTGGGCTTTGTCCCTTTCCCGAGCCAGGAGGGCACCTGCCTCCTTTGTTCTCCAACCCTTTAGCTCTCACCTTGCAGGGGGGAAGGGCCCAGGCCATCAGTTGCCAGGAAACAGGGTGTCGACCATTCTCTGTGTCCAGACCCCTGCACACACCAGCCCTCTAGGGTTCTGCAACGATCATTCACCCTTATCCCACCCCCTAGATACTTAAGAACTGCCTAGGGGAAACTGAGGCACCCCCACACTATTCAGAGGAAACATTAAGAACGGTCCCGCTTCGTCACAGCCTGGCTCTGCCCATAGCTCATCACATGACCTTGGGCAAGTCACTTCCTGGTTTAGTTGCCTCAGTTTCCCCATCTGTAAAGTGGGACTGAGCATTAATCCCAGCTTTGGAAACAGCTGTGAGGCCCCATAGCTGGAAAGTGCCATAGAAGAACTAAGCGTTAAAAAAAAAGTAAATGCCCAGTTAGTTTCCACTAAGCTTCTGGCAGTTTGGGGAGCTGGGGGCCAGGGCAGGTGCACACACACTGTGGGCCAGGCAGGAGTGTGCGTGTGCGGGGGGGAGGAGGCCGTGAACTCTCAGATTATTGGTTCCATTATCCCAGGGATTAATTTGGCCTGTTGGTTGGTCAGGGTAGACGACGTCTCTACCCTGACTCAGGTGGCACCGGAATGCAGCTAATCAGTACCAACAACAGGCAGGACCGTGGAAAATGCACAGCCAGGTGCTGGAGCGCGCCGTGCTCCCTGGGTCAGAGATTGTCCGTGGTAACGCTGGTTGTCAACGAACCTTTCCTGTGGCCATGAAAGAGCCTCAAGTACTGATTCTCCTGCACTAATTCTAGTTCCGTGGTTATCGTTTTCCTTCTGATGCCATTGGTGACGTGACTCTCCCATGTAGTTCAGGTGCATTCTCAATAGCTGCCATCGCCCACTGGAGGGACGGGGATACACCCATGTGCAGATCAGGGGAGCAGAGGCAGTGGAAGGGGCGGGTCAGAGTTTTCGGAGCCTGCAGAGAAGTTGCCTGATCAGGTTAGGGGATGGGCTGAGAGGTGCAGTACAGATTTCTGGAGGCTGCAAGAAAAACGCATGGTTCTATTTCCCTCCCGTCATGTTGCGAGGTTTCTGTGATTATCACAAATCCCTCGGTGAGACAGTTGCCTGGCTGGAAAATCGTTTTGCCCACCCTCTGAGTGTATAGTGTTTCCTTATTGCCAATATTCCCACCCAGTTCCGTGACTGGAAATGGGCACATTGAGGTGTACCCCTGCAGTCAGGATGGCACAGAGGAAAGGTTAGTGCCATTTTTCAGTGGGGGGGGGGGCAGAGAACGGAGGGAAGTGGTTCATCCGTAACAGCTATGCCCATGCCTATGGCAGGTGGATTGAGACTAGGAGCCAAATTTACCCCTGGTGTAAATCCACTGAAGTAGTGCAGTTATATCAGGGATTAATCTGCCCTTGGAGTTTGATTCTCTTCTTCACACCAGTGCAATTCCATGGACTTTAGTGGGGTTCCTTGTGCTTTTCACCAGTGAGAGAGCAGAATAAGGTCACAAGCAATTTTAGGTTATCTACAACCAAAGGCAACTTGGGTGGCATTGTGCCACTTTGCACCAGCTGAGAATCTGACCCGGAGTTTTGCCAGGTGGGAATTGGTGCCTCTGGAGCTGCTGCAGCCCTTTGCACTAGTACAGCACAAAGCTCCACCAGTCCGCGCGGGGCATCGTTTCATGCTCGCTTTGCACTGGTCTAAGTGGCCACACAAGGTGTTGGAAGCGGAGGATCAGAAGCCTATTTTGATGCAAGCAAAATGTGAACCTGCCTTCATTCTGATCTCACACCCACTTTATATCGAGGAAACTCCACTGATTTCAGCAAATGCCAAGCTGATTCACATCCTTGTGAGAGCAAACCCAGCCCCTCCGCCCTCCCCCGCCCTGCCTAGGGTGGGTGTTTCGCTGACATTGCTAGCGTGCTCAGTATCGGTTCATCCCTTCCAGCAAAGGCGAGTTGCCGTTCAGCTTGTGTGAAGCACAGCTCATAAGCATGCAAGAGCATTCTTGACTGGTCACCGGGAGCCCACCAGCACCTTCAGAAGGTTAAAGTGCTACCGAAGAGGCTCTGGGGCAGCAAGTCCTGAGGGTGGATAAAGGTCATGTGAAAGTGTGAGCCCACTTGTGTTTGCCAGGAGTTCATGATGATGAATGAGAGAAGCTTCCACTGAAGCAATATCCTGCTAGGTCCAGTTGGCGGCTGGTTTGTACTGACTTAAAAAAAACCAATTAATTCAAAAGTTTTTGACTTATCCTCACTTCCAGATCAGAAAAATGCATCCACAGCTGTCTCTTCATTTTGAAGGTGTGCTGCTTACGTTGCAAAAATTTTGCAAGTGCATCACACTTACACATGCCAAGACCTGACTGTGCGTGACAAATTGAAGTGCTCTGTCCTCAGAGCAGAAACATCACAGAAATACAAGCTTTCCCCCATATTGCCCTCCCAAAATGTACCCCAATCCTGAATGCCACTGATCTCGCTATCTGTACAATCTGCTAGGAACAAGGTCAGTCTCCCCACCGCATGGTTTCTCTGCAGAGTGCCAATAAGAGTGTTGTCACTTTCATTGCTTTTCCTTGTATCTTGCAGTTCCATGTAACTTTCATCTACCCTCCTTGGTTTAATTTCATGTCACTGTAGGTTTTTCTACACGCAATTTGTCTTTTGCTATGGGAAGTGTGATCTCCTAAAATCCCAGACTGCCCAGGGCTTTGCTGGAGAGATGGAACTTACACGACACTCGGTCAGGATAGCATACTGTAAGGGGCGGACTCACCCTTACGCTGCCATGGATGCAGTTATTTACATCAGTGCAATGTGGGTATCAAATGGGGCCCTTTTGGGGCCAGCCTCTGAGCTGGAGTAAATCTGCAAATCTTCATTGACTTTGGTGGAGTTTTTTCTGATTTATGCCTGTGTGAGTAAGAGGAGAAACAGGTGAAGATAGACAGGTGCAATTCCAAACCTCTGATTGAATGCTCAGTTTTGGACAGCTGTTCGTACTCCCACCTCCTTTTGCTGTTGTTGATCAGTTGAGACTGCTCCCCACAGGCTGCTATTATTATTTATATTATTGTCATGACTAGAACACACAGAGCTTTATTTTGTGTTTACAGGGAGAGAGTGCACTAATCCAGCACCACACATGCATTCTAAAAGCCAAAGGCCTAAATGGAGGATCAGCTGAACCACTGTTCCAACCAAGACAACTGGGGATAAAAAGCAAGATATAGATTACCGCAAGTATACCGTGTTTCACGTGATTGGCCGATATACGGCCAGAATTGATCAGCGCCAAAGATACATGATCACTAATTCCATAGGGTAAAAAATAATCAAACAATATTTGCATGAATTGTTCAGTGTCAGCTTAATTGGAAGATCTTAGTCAATTTCAGCCTAATGATCACCTTTCAGTTTGCAATATGTGCAAAATACCAGTATCAGATGCCAGACAACAAAGACAGTGAAAACATGGGTGCTGGGGACACTGTAGCTTGCTCGTGCGTTAGCGGATGTACTGCTGGTTTTGAATGAAGTCCAGTCTTCGCAGAATTTCTCCAAAATATGTGGGCTGTGATGCCTACAGAACTGGAATCCACTTGTTATCAATATTGTACATAAAGGACTGCTTCCCTGGTACTTCTGGCAGATAAGTACCTATAACGAGACAGATACATAAATGAGCTAAATGCAAATTTCAGATTATTGACTAATATAGGAACTACGGTGTCTTGTTTGCTCAGGGGGAGGGGTAAGAGAAAGGGCGATAAACCCTTGACTGTATTTTTCATTAACTGCATGGAGCATCTTCAATTGGTAAGAAATAATGGTGAGATTCCTATACCTTTATTCATGCTGAATAAATACCTAGTTCTGCCATTGAAGTCAATGAGGAGTAAGGACATATTCAGCATGAGTAAAGGAGAGAATGCTAGTCTGGTCTTGGGAGACCAGGGTTCAATTCCCTGCTCTGCTACAGACTTCTTGTATGACCTTGGCCAAGTCACTTAGGCTCAGATTAGTATTTAGGTGTCTAACTCCTACTGAACTCAATCAACCTTTAAGGATGTGGGCCTCAGGCTCTCTCTGCCTTCGTTTCCCATCGATACAATGGGAATGTGAGGCACTCAGATACTATGGTAATGGGGCCATACAAGCACCTTAGATAGATAGTGAAGACAGCCAAAGGTGGCCCATAGTGTTGAAAGGCTTAGTGAAGGCAGAAAGACATTTTTTTTCTCCTTGAGTATCTACTCAGATGTGTATGACAACATGTCAGTTCAGTGAGATAGAAGCGAGCCGCCTTAGCCTCCTGGGCCTTTGGTAATATGCGTGTATATGCTGTTAAGTTACAGAAGTATGGGCAAGCCGTGCTTTCATTAATACCCGTATTAATATTCATTGTAATCAGAGAAGGGTCTGAGTTCTGACACTGGGATCTAGTTCCAAAGTTTGGCTCAGATCCTGCGTTTGGACCTTTCTTTAATACTTAGTGGGATCCAAAGTTCATCGTGATTGTTTTTTGTATTGACTGTATCTTTCTCGGTGGCTTTTAGGTTAAATGATAAACCAGGAACCCTGGACGTAGTATGAAATATCTGGCATCTTAAAACCCAGCCACCAAGTACTTGGTGCCCAAGCATCCCTTAATAAGGCTCCTGCAATAATATAAGCCTATGAATTTAATTGTGTGGTGTTTAGATTGTTTTTATTCTGATGTCATTGTTCCCTACGAAGTACATGCACAGCACTGCAGATCTGTATTATAGACTCATAGATATTAAGGTCAGAAGGGACCATTATGATCATCTAGTCTGACCTCCTGCACAATGCAGGCCACTGAATCTCACCCACCCACTCCTGCAATAAATCTCTCACCTATGTCTGAGCTATTGTCCTCAAATCATGGTTTAAAAACTTCAAGGTGCAGAGAATCCTCCAGCAAGTGACCTGTGCCCCATGCTGCAGAGGAAGGCGAAAAACCCCCAGGGCCTCTTCCAATCTGCCCTGGAGGAAAATTCCTTCCCGACCCCAAATATGGCGATCAGCTGAACCATGAGCATGTGGGCAAGATTCACCACCCAGATACCCAGCAAAGAATTCTCTGTAGTAACTCAGATCCCACCCGATCTAACATCCCATCACAGGCCATTGGGCCTATTTACCATGAATAGTTAAAGATCAATTAATTGCCAAAATCATGTTATCCCATCATACCATCTCCTCCACAAACTTACCGAGTTTAATCTTGAAGCCAGATAGGTCTTTTGCCCCCACTGCTTCCCTTGGAAGGCTATTCCAGAGCTTCACTTCTCTGATGGTTAGAAACCTTCGTCTAATTTCAAGTCTAAACTTCCCGATGGCCAGTTTATATCATTTGTTCTTATGTCCACATTGGTAGTATTACAAGTAAGTCATACAGTACTGGGCGATTTTACATTATATATTAATAGTGCACATGGGCTAACGCTACTTTAGATTTCATTGCAGGGAGCTTTGCCCCACTGGAATTTTCTTTCTTGTCTTCACAGCTAGCTGTAAAAGGTTAAAAAGAATGGGATTTGATCTTTTCTAATGCCAGAAAGGATGCTAGCAGGGGTGAGTGGATTTGTGATTATGGGAGATGTCCTGACTTTTCACAAGTTAACAATGCATGTGCATGGTTTTTAATTTAATACTATGGGATGGAAAAACTTTAGACTCTTTTACCGCCTTCTGTTCAAAGTATTTCTAGCCCCACTCACTTCCTCTGCTTCATCTTTGCTTTAATTAAGGTGCCTCAATTTACACAAGCTGAGGATCTGGCCCAATATTTAATAAGTAGACCAGTATTTAGGGACATCAGCATTTTTGCCGAAGCACTTGGCATGCTCAGCGTTTGAAATGTAATATGGACAATGGGTATCATGCAATCCTTTAATAGAATCTGTCCCTCTGTTTCTGCTGCCACAAGACCCCTGGGCGAAATGATGGCACTGTTTTAGCCTGGTATGACATTCCCCAGCACTCTGTGGATGTACAAATTCTACAGATGAATAAAATCATATACTGTAAATAATAGCAAAATTGCTATTGTCTGCTTTCCAAACCAGGCATTCATCTGTCAGAGGGACTTAGGGTCATGTTTCTTGTATTGTTTCTTTTCTCGAATACACCTAACTTACTCACTATATGAAAATAGTGTTACTCATGGCAATTATTAATTGCACAAAGGGCACTCGGGGCCAGATTCCACCAGCCTTGCTCACCCTCAGCAGTTCCCTACTCCACACGCACGCCAATACTTGCAGAGTAAGGAACTACTCAACGTCCGGAAATGGTGGCAGAATCTGGCCCTTCGTTTGTCCCCTGTATGTTAGCAATCTTACCATCAAAAGGGCCAGATCTGGATCCCCTATGCTGCTGAGCACCTAATGAGGTGAGCGGGCTGTTTGGCTACAATGGGACTGCATGTATGAGTAAGGACTACACAGTCTAGCTTTCTACATGCACACTGGATACACTGGTAGGTAATTAGAACAAAGCATATCATACTCATGGAAATGTTAGTACATTTAACACATGAGTCTCTGTGAGTAGGTCCCTCCTTCGATCTTCTGCAAGCATTTTCTGGATACAATTATGGGACCTGCTTCGTCTCCCACATATGCTGATGTAAATCAGGAGCAACTGCCCTGGACTCAGTGGAGTTATACCAGTGTCAGAGTTAGACCAGTGTTAAGGTGGCATGAGGCAGAGGAGATTCAGGGCTATGATGCCCTATAAGGTCTCTTTCCTCTTGGACTATGCAAACACTTTGCAGTTTCATGAGTCAGTTTTCTTCCTTCTCCTCTAACTGCTTCCTCCCACCCCACCCACACAGGGCTTTACGGCAGCGGAGGTAAAACTTTGGTTGTAATAACAAGAGTTGAACGGTAGTTTTCCAAATACAAACATAACTCCCATAAGCTATTTGTCAAACATGCTGACAGTTGGTGATACTTGAATGGCAATTGCAGTGCAAACATTTATGCTTTTCTCAAAATAGTTTAAACACATCGTCTAGTGGTCCGACCACAGGGCTGGGAGTCAGGAGACTTAGGTTCTATTCCCAGTTCTGATACTGACTCTCGGTGTAACCTTGGACAACTCACTTAGCCCCATGTTTACAAAAGTAATTAGGTGCCTAAAGATGCAGATAGGTGCCTAATGGGGTTTAATAACAGCTCCTAAGTAGGTTAGGTGCCCAACTCACTTAGGCATTTCAGTAAATCCCACTAAGGCACCTGTCTGCATCTTTAGGTGCCTAGATACCATTGTACATCTGATCCTTAGCTTTTCAGTGTCTCAGTTTCCCTATCTGTAAAAAGGTAGATAACACTGCTTAATCACCTATGGAAAGTGCTTTGAGCTCTATGTAAATACAAAGTATTTATCAATATTTTTATTTTTACCTGGCCCAGGTATCCCTTGCTGAGATGTGTCCCCTCTCCACCGTCCCGTGTTTGAGACAAATACAGCACTAGAGATGTAATGCTTTGGTGGGCCTTTGTAGTCCACTATTTCATACTGCCCTGGACCAGGCAAAGGTGGATTTTTTGGGGGTGGTATGGCTGGGGCAGAGAAATTCAAGTTTTGCTTTCGCCTATTAGAAGAAAGGAAAATTGAGATACATTGTAAATTGATGGGGTTTGAAGGTTGAGAATAAAAGCTGCGATGTTCAGTGGTGCCTAATGGAGTTAGGTGCTGACATTTCATTGAAATTCAGTCGGTGCTAAGTGCTCAAATCACATAGGCTCCTTTGAAAATCCCAGCTAAAAGCTTTAAAGAATGCCCTAGAAAAGTACTATCCGACTCCTCTCGGATCACACACTTTGCAAATCGGGATACATGTACAAAGCCACGTATCAAGCCTCTTAACTTTCTCGCAAAATATATTGACGTGATGATGGGCCCGATCCGGCTGCTATTGAGAGCCAGGGCCAGATGCTCAGCTGGTGTAAATCAGGGTAGTTCCCCTGAACTCAACGGAGCTGTGCAAGTGTTTTCCAGCTGAGTATGTGGCCCCATAGGCGTAAATCAGTGACTTAAATGGGAGCCGGATCTGTCTCTAAGGGTACACCTACACGGTACTTACATGAGTAGCCCTTAGCACAGGTATAAATAGCAGTGGCGACCGTGAGGTACAGCTTCGGTGAGTAAAGACACACTTGAAGGGTGTGGCTACGTTCTCACGTACATACCCTACATGGTTCTCTATTCACCCACACCATGCCGTGCTGTCTACGCTGCTGTTTTTAGCACTGTAGTGTCCTGCTGCTTCCCAACTGGTGGAGCCTTTCCCCAGCACAGGAAAAGACCCTGGCAGTGAGGAAAGGCTCTGGCAAGGGGGAGGCCTTGGGGAAGGGCTCCTCTAGCTCCCTGGTGCTGGAGCCTTTCACCACAGTCCCTCCCCCGCCAGCCCCTTTCACTAACAAGTGTAGCTACAGACTGTAACTTGCTTTTCACTGGAGCGTGTAGCTACACGTACCCTACACGGTGCCACCAGTGGACACAGCCTAACTTTGGCATCTGGACACTGAGCCTTCTGATATTTGCTGATAATGTAGATTAATAATCCTCTCACTTGAGGTTTAATTTAGCTTTCCGCCCTAGCCCGCTGTGTTTAGCACACGCTGTCTGGCATTGCTTCTCTCTCCCTACAGCTTCCTACTCCTTTCACCAAACCTCTGTTGTAAGATACACCTGCCTGTGTGCAGAGAGCTGCAGACTTGCCCATATACTCCTCATACCTTTCCCTGGTCAAGAATTTACTGTTGATCTTAATCTTATCTCAGGCAACCCAATGTCACTGTCACGGGGTGGGCATAATAAATCTACTTGAATAACCTGCTGAAAGGCAGATTTATCTGCCTTCCCAGAATGATGCCAAAGGGGAAAGAAAGGGGCTTTTCCTTTTCTTCCTTTATTCTGTTTTGGCCTGAACTGAAGGAGCAAGTGTTTGAAACCTTGCAGGAAGGCCTGTTGTCCACCTCAGTTCTGCAGACTCAATGAAGTTCAGAGAAGCATCTAAGCTTTACCCAAACAGAGATGTGGGGTCTGTTTCCTGTTCTGCCACTGGGTCATGTGTGCCTCAGTTTTCCCCATCTGTAAAATGGGGATCATATATCATACCGACAGCACAATGGGTGTGCGGTATTTGGTAACAGTTTGTGTATTTTGCTTTTCAGTGTTACCACTGCTTTCACTTCCCAAGGGAGCCATCTTTTGCCTCATCTGTAAACCAGTGGCAACAGAGGCAACCGAGTACGGGCTTGACTGTGATACGGTGGAAGAACTTTGCAGAGAGCCAGGTGTGAGCTCTCCTGCTGCAGGTGTTGGGCCCTCCTGCAATCTGAGGTGATCACAAGCAGTGACTGACAGTGAAAAAGCATACAGGTTAGCACTCACATGGAAGTGGTCTTCTTTGCTGCTTTAGTGGGTTTGTTTAGCTGATAGGCTGCAGGCCCTGGGCTTATTGTATTCACCTTTGTTTCACGATGAGTATTTGATTTGAAGCAAGACACTAGAATCCTGGGGGACTTCTTGACAAGGGATTCGTTGATTCTGTAATGGCCTAATAACACGACAAGAAAAGGGATGTAAAAACCAAACAATGCCGCAACTATTGCACTAGGGCAGGCATAAGAGGGGATGAGTCCGTGAAAGTAACGGAGGTAAAAGGAAACAGCACAGCAGAGTGTTTTGGGGGGAAAGCATTTCTTGAGATGACAAAAATTGCTTCCTGGAGCAGCTTACCCCTTGGGCACAGAAGATGAGTGACTACTCTAGTGACTTAATCCTGAACACAGGAGCATCCAGGGAGGAAGTACAGGTAGGAAAACTAGCAATTAAAAAAAACAGAAGAGATGTTGACTGTGAACATCACTTGCAGCGACACCACCTAATGTAAAAATGACTAGAGCCAACCATCCTCATGCTTCAGGGTATAAACTTCATGAGGCAGTGGGGCCAGGAAGAAGTTTCCTTCTATGGTAGCATGACAGATTTAGGTGTATTATGGTGTGCGACGTCACACCGCTCCCTGAGCCCCTGGCACCCTGGAGGGAGCCCGAGTATGTTCTGGCAATTCACCTAAGTTCCATAAATCTACACTCAGGGGTGTGACTATATCTGGATGGGTGCTTTAGTAATAATTCCAAGGGGCCCATCCTGTAGAACTTGGAAGTGTCACCCACTAATGCCCCTTCATCTATGCAAAATGTCATATCCTGAGTGCCTGGATATCCATGGATTTCAGTGACGGTGGTGAGCACCTAATAAGATCAGACTCAGACTCACAAATGATGCTTTTCCTCCTATCTCAACAGCTCACTTACATGGAGAAGGCCATTTTTCTGTTTTATCAGTGCTTAATCCTCTTGTCGTTTTGGACAAAAACATCGCCCGGGCACACACGTTGTTGCTTTGCTTGCAGAAATCTAGAGAGGCCTGCACAAAATGAAGTCTCCATTAATTCCTTTGAATTGACCTTCCTCTTGGGTATTTACTAACGTAACAAAAACTATGTTTTTTTAGCTCCAGTCTCCATCGTGAATCAGAACTGCTCTAATGATATAAATGAATTCAATATTAGGGCCAAGTTTTCAGGAGAGCTCACTGGTTTTCGGTGTCTCCGTTTCTGACTGCCCATCTTGTGAGGGTTTATTATCAGAGGTGCTGCGGACTGGCAGCTCCCACTGAAAATTTGGCGGCATTTCTTTGGTTGCTGCTGCCAGTCGTTACTGCACCAGCTTGATCTAAAAGTGTCCAACCTCATTCAAATAACCAAACCAAGCATGGGGTTTGAGGGAGTGCTTCCAGTGCACCCAAAGGTGAGCTGCATGATAGCACCTGGAAGAGCATAAACAAACTGTTGCAACTTTGCCCTTCAGGGTAGGCTAGAATGACAAAAATGTAGCCACTGGTTTTCTACCCAGCCCAAAATCGTTCTTCAAAGAGATCAAGTCTATTGTTTAGGGGTTAATCCCGCATGCCTCAAAGCCAATGGCAAAATTCCCCTAGACTTCAATTGAATCAGGCTAACTTTACCAGGCCTGCTCCATCCAGTGGAAAGCTTCTGATTGATACTGCTCCCAGGATGTTAGAGACACAAGGTGGGGGAGGGAATATCTTTTATTGGACCAACTTCTGTTGGTGAGGGAGACAAGTTTTGAGCTGACACAGAGCTCTTCTTCAGGGCTGGGAAATGTACTCAGGCCAGGTCTACACTACAGACCTATATTGGGATAACTACATCAGTCAGGGGTGTGAAAAATCCACATTTATATTGACCTAACCCCCCACCCTGTGTAGCTAGCACTATGTTAACAGGAGAGCTTCTACCGTCAACATAGCTACCGCCTCTTGGGGAGGTGGATTAACTATGCTGGGGAGAAGCTCTCCTGCTGGCGTAGTTGTGTCTTCATTGAAGCAGGGCCCCTGAATGGGAAGACAAGCCCCTCAGAGTGTCACAACTATTCAAGGTGAACAGATTGTTAAGCATAAGTTTCGGAGTAGCAGCCGTGTTAGTCTGTATTTGCAAAAAGAAAAGGAGGACTTAGAGACTAACCAATTTATTTGAACATAAAGCTTTCGTGAGCTATCCACTAGTACTCCTTTTCTTTTTGTTAAGCATAAGTAGTTAACACATATTTCAAGGGACTATTCAAGGTGAACTGGCCAATTAACACCCCTCCAGTCATGGGGGGAAAAGAAGGCAGGGGGGAAAGGCAGCTGGGGCAGGGGTTGTTAGTGGGTTATAGATTGTTTTAATAAGCCATAAATCCAGCATCTCTATTCAGTCCATGATTTTTAGTGTCTAGCAAAGTTATGAATGTAAGTTCCAAGGCTCGTCTTTTGAGGGTGTTGTGCATATTTCCTTTGTGGGTGAGTGCTGAGAGATCAGACATAGAGTGATAGAGTGATCATTGCATGAAAAGCGTTCTCCCACAGGTGATGTGGTGTTTTGTCTTTTATCATTTTCCCCCTGTGAGTTCATTTAAGAGTATAGTGATTGTCTGGTTTCACCCACATAGTTGTTATTGGGGCATTTAATGCACTGAATGATGTACAGCACATGTTGTGATAGGCTGAATTTGGCCCACACACTGAAAACATTATTCCATACAGTTTGGGACACTGCTTCAGCTTTATTTTCTGTTGCAAGCCTGGGTTTTATCAACACTTATTAATTTTGGCTGAGATTACACCTAAGGCCTGATTTGCAGTTTTAAGGAAAAACTCCTGTTGACTTTAGTGGGAGTTTTGCCTGTGTACAGGACTGGGCCCTCTGTTTCTTCCCAGAGTGTCTCTTTGCCTATGGTCATAAATTATCAAGCACTGCCATCTTTTAAATGGATTGTTTCCTGTTGTGCTTCTCGAGGGTTAGACACCATCCCTTACAGTAAATCACAAGACAGTAATTAATCCAGGAAGGTTATTCCCAGAAGCAAATTCTTACAATGTTAGAAATAACATGCTACGAACCCATTATGCTATGATATGTCAAATAACTATGATCTGCAAACTAGCTTAAACAACAGAAAACTTGTTGAGGCAGATCATCGTAGCTGGAAGGCATTGTAACAAAGTCCAGTGTTTTAACCAGAGGCCATCTTTTGGAAAGTCGGCCTTTCCGCAACAGCACAGTCCCTATGCTGGTGCGTTGGTTCAGAATTCACTCAGAGAAAAGGGGGGCAGTGTACAGAATCACCAAAATCCCCTTAAATCAGTGGAGCTGTGCTGGTTTACACCAGCTGAGGATCTGATCCCTTTATGAACAATGAAGACACATGATCATTGATTCTGACCAAGCCTATAAATGTATCACTCATTTCTAACCTACAGCCGTGCCACCTTAAGTGGGGAGTTAGTCATGTCTAATGCATTGAGGAGGATCAAGCGTGGTTGCTACCTGCATGGCAGACAACCAAGGAAAACTGAGGAAATGTTTGAATGATTCTGTACGTAGCACTCATCTCTTTAAGCGAATTCTGAACCAATGCACCAGCACAGGGGCTGTGCTGCGGAAGGACTGTCTTTCCAAGAAGGATGGTGTATGGCTAAGGCATTGGATTGGGACTCGGGAGAGCTGGATTCCCAGTTCTGCCCCACACTTCTTGTGTGATCTTAGGAAAGTCATTTATTATCTCTGTGCTTCAGCTCCCCACCTGTAAGATGGGGATAATACTTCCATTCTCTCTCGGTCTGTCTTGTCTACTTAGATGGTAAACTCTTTGGTACAGGGTCTCAGTCTTACTACGTGTACGGACACCACCTAGCAAAACGGGGACTCAATCTTTAGGCACTATTTGTAATATGAATAACAACAAGACGGGATGATCCTGACCAGCTACTGTCATTAACGGTCCTCTGGCTCTTCTTACAGAAATAGTGGAGTTAACTACAGTGTCCTGGCCAAATTCAAATGTAATTATATTTTGCATAAACAACCTAAAACTCCTTTGCAGTTTCAGTCGGCTACAGTTTTCTTCTTCGCTCACTGTCCTAAACTGTTACAGTGTTACTGTGTGCTTTGAGACAAGACACATTCCACCCCTGCATCCCACTGGATGTTTATCACACTTGAAGTGAGTACATAGTAGGAAAAAACTCTGGTGAAAAGAAAAGGAGGACTTGTGGCACCTTAGAGACTAACAAATTTATTTGAGCATGAGCTTTCGTGAGCTACAGCATCTGATGAAGTGAGCTGTAGCTCACGAAAGCTTATGCTCAAATAAATTGGTTAGTCTCTAAGGTGCCACAAGTACTCCTTTTCTTTTTGCAAATACAGACTAACACGGCTGCTACTCTGAAATCTGGTGAAAAGAGCATTGTGTCAATATAAGAGATTCCTGTTCTAAGTGACAGACACTCAGGGAACTACAGCAGACATGATTTGCAGAAAAAATTATAGAGCAAATGAGTTAAAGTAACAATGATAATAAATCAGCACTGCCTAGATAACAGTGAAATCCATGACCAATAGGTATAATATTTTGATAGGCAGCTATTCACAATACTTTGCATTTCTTTAACAACTTCCTTTCAAGACTCTCAAAGCACTTTGCAAACATTCATGGAGTAAGACTTACAACACCCCAATGAAGCATGTATTATTGTCACCATGTGACACATGGGACGAGGAGGCACAGAAAGGTTAGTGCCTTACTCAAGATCACACAGTGAGTCACTGGCAGAATCAGGAATAGAATCTCAAGGCCAGATCCTTAGCTGGTGTAAACTGGCACAGCTCCATGCAAGTCAGTGGAGCTATGCTGATCTACATCTGTGGAGGATCTGGCCTCTGATTTCCAGCCCTGTGTTTCAACCACCAGACCACACATCTGTTAGAAATAATACATAAAATGTGAAATCCTGGCTGCATTGAAGGCAGCGGCAACACTCCTGTTGAATTCAGTGAAGCCGGGATTTTACCCAAAGAATCCTGTGGGGCTTTCAACACCTCAGGTTATACTGTGGTGGGAAGACAGAGGGTTGCTGCAGTGGCAGATCCTGGATGCATACTGGCTGCCTCGGTGACCCATGTGCTCTGGATGCACAGAGACTGAGACTGCTCCTTGCACGGGGGTCCGACCTGCTTTCAGTGAAATCAATGGCAAAACTCCCACTGACTTCAAAGGAGCAGGAGGAAGCCACAGGTGCATAAAGAGAAACGCCCTCTCCTCCCCTTGCACACCCTTGCTGGGCCAGCCATGCTCTGGTCCACACAGGATTAAACACAGTACAATGATTTCCTTATAATTCCCCATATCTCACTTAAAGTTAGTTTTACATTGGCTTTAACTTCCTGGTTTTTGCCCCTTACGTTGTATTGATTGGGCGCTGGGGTGGACGTTTGCTCTCTCCTCTTAGCGATTGGTTGCTGAAACATGCTGGAGTTTCCCATGCTGAAATCTTGCTTGGATTGAAATGCCAACGAGAGGTTGTAGGCATTTGCGGCAGGGTAGCTGGGTTTTCTATTGTGTAGGAGACGAGCATCCTGGAGAGAGACAAATCAAAGAAATCAATAGCAGTTGAGCAGCAGTGCTGGAGGGAGACTGGTGAACAGTTTGGATCCAGTCTTTGATCTCTGGTATTTTACATATTGTTATAACTGGGTAGGGAATAGCCTCTGTATTTTACATACAGCAGAACCCCACTAAATTGCATGAATGGTTGGGAGTCCCATTGCAAGGGGTCTGATCCTGCCAGTGAGGTGCTGAGCACCATTAATTCCCATTGGCTTCCCTGGGAGAAGAAGATGCTCAGTGGCTTGGCGTGGAAGCCAGGCACACTTTGTCAGTGCATCAGATTATCCTCCATTGTGATGGTTTGAAAATGTGTTTAAAATTCTGTGCAAAATTATCGGCGTTCAGCATTCATATCATTAAAAGGATTGAGCAGATTTTCTTCTAACTCGGCTTATGATTTGTATATCTCACTGAGATTCATAGAAGAACTGAAGAGGAGTACTTGTGGCACCTTAGAGACTAACCAATTTATTTGAGCATGAGCTTTCGTGAGCTACAGCTCAACTGACTTTGTTGTCACTAGCTTTAGCCATTTTCAAGCTAGGGTGAGTGCAACATTTCCAGTTAACCCCTCGTGGGAGAGAAATGTGGGGGTTTTCTTCAGACTTCCATAACTCAAACACGGCTCAGCTAATTTTGCTCCAATTTTCTACTCCAAAGGGAGAAAAATCACCTTTGGATTGAGATCAAGCATAGAAAGTTTTAGCCCCAGAGGAATTTGTTTTAAAAGTTATATGAGCAACTGAAAAAGAAGGTTAGAATGGAGGATGGAATTCAGCCTTAATGATAGCAGTGTCTTCCAGTGACTGGTACAGCGATTGCCTGTCTATCTTCGGTGTTTGTAAGGTGCCCCACCCCTATTGTATCTCAGGCCCAGATCCTTCAGGGCATTTAGATACCTAACCCCAATTGAAGACTCTGATTTGAGATGCCCTAAATTTAGGCAGCAAGGGATGAAAAATAAGATGTGATCATTAAAGGCCTGATGCAATAGAAGTCAACAGAAAATCCCTTAGACCCAGATCCTCAACGTTATTTAAGTGCCTACCTCCCATTGAAATTAATGGGAAATTACATTAAACTAACTCCCATTAATTTCAGTGGCAGGTAGGCAATTAAATAACTTTGAGGATCTGGGCCTAATTGACTTTAATGGGCGGTGGATCAGGCCCTAAACAATACAAACCCTTTCCCTTACCATGGAAGGAAAGTAGCCCGTTCCCTTCTTTGACAGTGAGGTGCTGTTAATCTCTGCAGATTGGTGAACGACGTTATAGAATCCCGGCCCTGGAATTTCATTCTAATAAGGAAACATAATACATTTACAAAAAGAAAAGGAGTACTTGTGGCACTTTAGAGACTAACCAATTTATTTGAGCATAAGCTTTCGTGAGCTACAGCTCACTTCATTGGATGCATACTGTGGAAAGTTTAGAAGATCTTATTATATACGCACAAAGCAGGAAAAAATACCTCCTCCCACCCCACTCTCCTGCTGGTAATAGCTTATCTAAAGTGATCACTACTCTGAAACCACTCCTTACAATGTGTATGATAATCAAGTTGGGCCATTTCCAGCACAAATCATTTAGTAACAATCATCCTTCTGAACAAACTCAAAACATTATTTAGGAAGTTTCAGAGCTGTGACGGCAGAATTTAGAAATTGCCAGACTGGATCAGACCAGAGATCTAACTTGTCCATTATCCTCTCTCTTGGTGGCCAGTACCAGATGCATCAAGAGAAGGTGCAAGAATGTCTTAATGGACAGTTATGGAATAACCTAAATGGGCTGTTCTTGCTGGGCTGGGGATGAGCTCACAGCTCCTATAAAGTGCCCCCAATGGCCAGCGAAACCAATCGCCTCTGACAGCCACACACCCCATCACTTGCATTCATGCAGCAGAGGTGTTTCTGTGAAAAGTGGGGGTATGAAAGGCGAGTGTCTGTCACCTATAAAAAAGGCAGACTGCTCGGGTCAGGCAGGGCTCTTCAGCCTTGGTAGGCTGCCCATCTAGGAACTGGAACTCCAAATGTAAACCAGGGGTGCCATGCCCTCAAGGTGGATGATCATCCTTGGCAGACAATGGCACTAGATGCTGGAGAGGAGGTGGATGCCACCAGCATTAGTGTCACTGAATCTTATCCAGTGAAGCATGCCTTATAAATATTGTGTCCTCAATAATGTAACTATTGATATCGTCGTTACCAGTGAAAGGATCTAAACATTTTAAAATCCTACTAACACTTGGCCTTGATTATACCTGGTGGCAGTGAGTTCCACAGGTTATCTGTATTATTTATTATTACCATAGTGCATAGGCACTCCAATTATACACCAGGACGCCTTCATGCTAAGTACTGTACAAACACGGAATGTGCATTGTGTATACAATTATTTCCTTTTATCGATTTTCCATTTGATGGCTTTCAATTTCAGTGAATGGCCCTTGTTTTCACATGATGAGAGAGGGTAAATAGGAGCTCCTAATTTACCTCCCATATATATTTTTTTACATTACACACATCTATCAGATCAAACCTTAATTTTCTCCTCTCAAAACTAAACAACCCCAGTCTCTCTCCAGGACTAACCATTTTGTCAGCTATTTCTGAGCCCCCTCTGTTTCTGCTGCAGCTTTTATTTTGAGATAGGATGACCAGAACATTCCAGGTGAAGGCGTACCCTGGACATAAATAATGGCATTATCATATTTTCAGTATCATTTTCCATTCCATTCCTTGGGCACCTGAACGTTTTGTAGTAACTGTCATTGTGCAACGAGCAGATGTTTTCATTGTGTCAAAATAATAATCTTATTTTAATGTGAGTCTCAAATTGCACAGAAAAATGAATATGAAATGGGAGATTAAGTTTCCTACAGGGCAATTTATACAGACTGGGAATTCAGAGCAACTGCAAGTCTGAAATCTCACTCGTATATCTGACTTGAATGAATGAATTCAGCATGTGGACGGAATGCATTATTTGCAGTTACCGCGCCCTTCCTGACTCAGCTGTCCTCCTGAGCTTTTCAGAAAGAGAACTGGGTGGGATTCTATTTATAGAGCAAAATAAACCAAAACCAGCCTCGGTTCTATGTGATGACACCTTAAGCTCTTGAGGCCCAGTTCCCCGCAAGGTGCAGAACACCTTCTGTAAGGTGCTGGGCTCCCTCTAATCCAAGGGACGTCAATGGGATTTGTGGAGGCTCAGGACTGTTTGGGATGAGACCCCTAGAAAGAAATATACCTCATGTCAACATGAATGTTAGATGATTTAGGTATGTAGGAATGGAAATATCTGACACTCCTGACCCCTGAGAGCATATCATTGTCATGTGACCTTGTCTGTCAATTACCAGTGGAAAATATTTTGTATGGAGCACTGGACAAGTATATGAGACTTTATAAGCACATAAAGAGGTCCTGTCCTGTCTGGTTCTTGTCATGAGGAGTGTATGCTCAGATTCAGACAGAGATATACAATACCCAAGAGAAGATAGTGTGGGAATAACACAGAAGAGATGGGTTTGCAAAGGAGAGAGACGGCAGTTGGTGCAGAGGACATCGGGAACAATTCCAGTCACACACTCCAATCCTGCAATGAGCTACACCTGAGTGCAGGCATCTGACACCCCCACTTCCCCTGTGCAGGACTCTGGCAACAGGAAAGAAAGTACAAAGCTGGGAGTGGGGAAAGGAGATAAAGGGAGAACATAGGAGAGATGTGGGAGAGCCACAGGCAGTGGGAGAGGGTGTAGGAGGAATATATAAGTAATAAAAGCTAGCATCCAAGCAGAGCTTACATTGATGGCCATAAGGCATAGGCAAGTAAGGAATGACCTTGTCACCTTTTTAAGAGGCTACCAATCCAATTGGCCAGACTGGCACTCCAGTGGTAATGTGCTACCATGCATGACATAGAAAACCAGGGTTGGAAGGGACCTCGGGAGGTATCTAGTCCAACCCCCTGCTCAAAGCAGGGCCAATCCCCACTTTTTGCCCCAGATCCCTAAATGGCCCCCTCAAGGATTGAACTCACAACCCTGAGTTTAGCAGGCCAATGCTCAAACCACTGAGCTATCCCTCCTTCCCTGTACCTACCACAATGGGACCCTGATCTCAGTTGGCACTACCATAATGCTAATAATACAAATACACCAGTATGAAACTGGGCAAGACCTGAATCTTCAGTTCCGATTACTTACACAGATAGTTCCACAAGACTCTGCCGTCCTTATAAAAAATGTCATGGGAGTTACAGTGTGGCTGGCCATGTAGATAAATATTCGGCATAGTTTTCTTTATAGACAGAAACTATTCCAGTGCACATATAGGTTGCACTGAGGACGGATGTAAGTGGTGCAACTCCATTGATTTCAATAGGTTTGTCCCTACTTAAACCAGACTTCAGTAGGTCGCTACATGACTAACGCTTCCTGGCTGGAAGAGACACAGGGAGTTAGGCACCTAATTGCTATTTGTGCCTTTGAAAATCTACCCCCCCACCCCCCGAGCTAATTACATACAATTAGGTCCTTCTACCTCCTTGAGATCATAGTCTATTGGTGAATATAGAAGGCCATTAGGTCACAGTATTAGTTGATCAGAAATATTTTGCATACAACACCCAATAATACACATCAAAGTTCTAGTGGGGAGTGAATCCCTGTACCTGTAGCTATGTGTTAATGTACTCTATAGTATACTGAAGTTCTGTGGAGACATGACCAGGTGCGTTTGGAAGGAGAAGCTCAGAAAGCAGCCCTAGAAAGAGCTAGTATTTGATGCAGTAACCTTTCCCTAGGGATAACGCTTAAGCAAAAGTCTACTAAGGTCTTGTGTCGCTTGTGGTTTGGCCCATTTGCTGCTCCATCCTTCCGGCAGGAAATGCTCGGAGTAGAAGGGAGTGTTTTGTGAAACGACCTTAAAACTCTACCTCTTCTCTTTTAGAACTTTGCATCAGGTCATCTGGAACTCTTGGAAGCTGACCAGACAGACAGACGGCGCCTGCAAAAGGCAGTTAAGCAACGTCCCCACCTTGATCATTTCCCTTCATCTTTGGTCCTTGATGTTGATAGTTATTATTATTATTCAGGCCTGAGATAATGTGCTCTTGATATTGCTGAGATGAGAGAGACAAGCAAGAAGGAAGAGAACAAAGGCAGAATAAGAAAAAGAGAAGATACCAAATAATTCTCTGATCTACCCACTTGGAAAAGGGTTCGTGAAGCTACAGAAATCCTCAATCGACTTAATTTTCATGGCATTCTAGGGAGCCATAGCAGTGTTATTCACCAGATGGAGAGCAGGGAACTTTCTGCAGGAGGCATGGAGAATCCTCCTCCCACCAGAAGAGGAAGTAGTTAGGAAGCTGAACCCCAAAAGGCTCCTTGCACATAGAGGATGCGTCAGCTGTATTGGCTAGAGAAAAAGAATTTGAGTTGATGTCTGGGTGACTTGTACAGTTTTACAGCATCTTACTGCTTCCCCCTTCTGGCCAAAGAGGAGTAGACATCATAGTCTTTAGCTAGTATCAGGGAGTTTATGCACAGAGAGATCAGGACTAAATAAAGGAGTCCTAAAATGTTGGGTCATAGTCTGCATGCATTACACCAGTACAAAATCTGGAGTAACTCCATTCACTTCAGTGGAATCATTCCTGATTGGTAATGGTGTAAATGAGAGCAGAATGTGGGTCTTGGTGGCCTGGCAGTATTTGAATCAATATAAGAAAAGGAGTACTTGTGGCACCTTAGAGACTAACCAATTTATTTGAGCATGAGCTTTCGTGAGCTACAGCTCACTTCATCGGATGCATACCGTGGAATCAATATAAAAGACTAGGTGTAAATAATATTTAGGTTGTAAAACAAACTGACAATCCAAATCAGTGATGAGACATAGTATCCTTCACCCTTAGCACCGAGGATAGGGAGGCTGGAATGGAGAGGAGGAAAAAAAAAGCACAAAAGTTATTTTACAAAGGAGCCTAAGAAAATTAGGTACCTAAATCCTACTGAAATTCAGTGGTGCTCCACTGGTATTGTTAGGGTGACCAGATGTCCCGATTTTATAGGGACAGTCCTGATATTTGGGGCTTTGTGTTATATAGGCACCTATTACCTCCCATCCCCTGCCCTGATTTTTCATACTTGCTGTCTGGTCACCCTAGGTATTGTACAGCATAAGTCAGTGGTGAATCAGGCTCTTGAGTGTTAAATGAGTAGTTTCATACAGTTCTTTATCAACAGGGTCACATGATGCGTTTTCATCAAACTACTTCAGCATAGCTGATTTTCAATAACACTTCTCTTTTGCATTGCTGTTAGTGGTTTTTTTTTCCAAAGCCTGATCCATGGAATACTATATAAAACATGTATACAAGCTGTGTGTCCAGTTCAACTCAATCAAACTTATTATAAGACAAGATCACTAAGACATAATAGGAACATAAGATTTACAGCAAAGATCATAAATCTCAAATATTTCTACTACCTACCTGGTTATACTGAAACCTCTTTGCTTGAGAATTAAACCCCTTTTTTTCTGAGTTTGGGATCACTCTTGTCTGGTATTTATAAGGAATGGAGGCGACCTTGTAACCTAAAAGGTAAAGCCGATAAAAACAAGATCCTGAATGTGGAGATACAGGAAATATGTAACGGTAGCAACAGATTTCATTTTAAATAGGAAACAGACATGAAATGCAAATCTATCATTAATGCAATCTTCAGGTTGAGAAATCATCATTTGTTTTTGCATTGAATTTTCCTGTTTTATTTAAGAAGTAAAGAAAAAACTATCACTGCAGCACTTTAAAGGTGCTTCAGTGGTCATGAAGGGCTGTAGAGCTGACCCAGTGCTGCTAAATCACTATTGCCACACCTCCTTATTTAGACCTTTGCTGAGACATCCTGAAGTCGGACATTTTAGCAGCCCATCTCATGGGCCCGATCCTGCAAAAAGCTGAGTGCCTTCTGGAAGATCCTGAGCACCCTCTGTTCCTATTGACCACAATGACGGTTTAGGTTACTCAGAACCTCCCAGGAGACACTCAAGCCCAGATCCTCCAACGTAGTTAGGTAACTAATCCCCATTGATTTCAACAGGAGTCAGGCACTTAACTACCATTAAGGATCTGGGTTTCTATGCTGTGCAGGATTGGACTCAAAGGCCTTGTCCACACTGAGATTTTCTTGCCATTTCCCACCAGTGCAGCTCCTACTTTGGTAGCCAAGAGGAGCCAGCAGCTGCTGTGTTTTTACCACTGTGTCATCCAAGTAATGTTAGTTGACGTTGTGGTAAAATCGCCAGCGTCTTGTCTACTCTAGCGCTCCCTCTGTTGCAACATATAGTGGAGCTGAACCAGGTGTAGTGCAACAGAGAGAAGCTCAGTGTAAACACAGCCATGCTGTTGACAAGGGAGGAAATATGTTTTAAGATGATCTTTGAAATTAAATGGAAGGTCAAAGAAGGAAAGAGATACAGGAGGTCTATTCTAGAGAAACTGCAGAGGGGAGAATGATCTCAAACCAATAGTAGGGAGGCTGTGTGAAGGGAGAGTGCTAAATGAGCAGGAGGAGCAGAGACACACGGCCTATGATACAAATCTGCGGAAGTTTTAGGAGCAAGGGGCATGATTGGCCACTGCCTTGCACTGCGTGTCATCATTTACACGTTTGCATAGTGGAAGATTCTGATGTGGTGGCATTTTATGTTCACTTTGCACTGGTTTAAATAGCCAAAAGAGAACAATTCTGAACTGGATCCTGAAATGACTGGAACTGGCTGTGGATATAAATTGCTCAGGATGTCACTTCCTATTGATTAGCTTCACTGGTGCTGCAGTTTCAAAGAACAACATATTTGTAGCTATTTTGTCCCCTTTTCAACTGCAAAGTGGTTATTATCTGATTCACAATACTGTACCTCTTGACGTTTTCCCGATCTGCACATCTGCTCCTTTGGTACTAGTAGCTACAGAAAAGTTCTCAAAGCAGGCAGCCATGTTACGCAACTACTGCCCACTGGCTGGAAACACTCTCCTCCTCAGGGTCACCATTTTGTTTCTAAAACATCAGCTGGAAATATCAAAATGTTATGAATTTAGAAGAAAAAAAACGAGCCAGAATTTCTAAACAAGGCTGGAATGGTGAAGACTTAATAAACAAGGGAACTTCCTTTTCAGATTATGATTATTATCGTATTTTACATTCATACGGTGGGGGAGATAACTCAGTGGTTTGAGCATTGGCCTGCTAAACCCAGGGTTGTGAGTTCAATCCTTGAGGGGGCCATTTAGGGATCTGGGGCAAAAACTGGGGACTGGTCCTGCTTTGAGCAGGGGGTTGGACTAGATGGCCTCCTGAGGTCCCTTTCAACCCTGATATTCTATGAATCTGTCACCAAGAATTCTCCAAATCCCTGCAATCCTGACCTCAGTGGGACTGTGGGGTGAATGAAGGCTGCAGGTGCAGGCCCTACACATAAACATCAACCCTTCTGTCACCTTTGGGGTGGGGTGACATGATGCCAATCAAGCTTCACAGCTGCGAGGGAGGGAAAGGATTTGATCAGAAAAGATTGAGTCAAAGCCCTGTTCTTATGAAAAAGGCTGTGGGAATTTTTTAATGCCTAGAAGGAGCACTCTGGCCCTCTGTTTTTAAGGTTATTTTAAAGAGAACGCTGGAGAAGGAGCGTGAAGCCCAGGTATTGTGTTTAGTAGTAAGAGCATCTGCTAGGTCAGGTGAGAGGAAGCGTTGCACGCTAGGACAGTGGTTCTCAACCTTTTTTCATTTGCGGACCTCTACAAAATTTCAGACGGCGGTGCGGACCCCTTTGGAAATCTATTGTCTGTCTATACAGTTGAATTCTATTCAGTCAGTTTCCAGTTTAAGTCTTTCGTGGACCCCTTAGACAGGCGAGCCACGGACCACAGGCTGAGAACCACTGAGCTGGGACTCTCTCTGCGGGGCCAGAGCAGAGGAAGCGTTGCATGCTGGGACCCTGGTCTCTGTGGGGCCACAGGGAGGACGCGCTGCATGCTGGGACCTGCCATCCCTGGGGTGCCACCCCTGCCTACCTGGCTGCCGGGGCTGCTTTAGAGAAGGACTCTGAGAAAGTTTACACTTGGTTGCCTAGACAACAGCGGAACCAGGTATTCTCCAATCATTTTGCTTGTTATTTTGGCATCTTACACGCTCCTCCAATCACAGAAAGGCTTTCAAAGTGGCAACTGGTTGCCTTATGCCCTGCTCAAGTTAGAGTGCGTGTTTCTCTAGTTAAGGTGGTCCCGAACAAGCTCCTCTGCACATGGGTCTTAAGGCAGCTGTGCTCACCCCCACGGGCCCTGTTACCAAGGGACCACAGGGAAGAGTGCAGGAGCCCCTTCCTCTGCTCCCTGCTCTTCATTAAGATAGAAACACAACTTGTCAGGTAAAGCCCAGCCAACCCCACTCCGGGTTATTTCAGACACTTCCACAGACTGATCACTCGAAATGCTAACAAGGTTTTATGTTGGCCTAGAGGGGCTGAACCGGCTTCTGCTGAGGTCAATGGCACAACATCCACTACCTGCAATTGGGCAGGCTGCTGGCCCAGATTTTCAAAAGCCCTCAGAGTCAGCTGGCCCTGTGACTAGGTGCTGGCCTGGCAATCAGGAGACCAGGGTTTGGATACCTGCTCTGTGTCCTTTGGCAAGTCACTTTGGCTCTATAGTCTCTCTCCCTCCTTGTGTCTTCAGATCTCTCTGGTGCAGGAACTGCCCCTTGCTATGTATTTCTACAGCAACAAGCTCAATAGGCCTGATCTTAGAGCCTCTAAGGGCTACTGTGATATAAATAAAAGCTCAGCATCCACAGCTGTAATCAGAATTGCTCACCTCCCATTTAGACACCTAAATAAGGGTCAGATTTTTTTTTAAGTGCTCACTAGCACCCAGCAGCTGCCAAGGTGCCATGTTAAAAAAAAATCTGACCCCTTATGGAAGTGCTTAAGTGGGTAGTGAGTTATTTTGGAAATCGGTCCCATTATGTCTAACATTAAGTGATATAATCAGAACACTGAAGACCCCTTTGATCATCAAATCAGTTAATCAAGCATTAATGATTACTAGGACTATTGTTTTAGTATGGTAGGCAATGCACTGGCAGCAGAATCCCTTTCTTGGTGCAGGAGGCTGAATCCAGGAGGCTGACTCCAAAGCACATCCATTTAACTAGTGCATCTTTGGGCTGCATTGGAGAGATGCTAAGCACCTGTAACTCTCAATGATTTCACTGGGGTTTGTTTGTGCTCGTCATCTCACAGGATCGGGCCTCAGAAAAAGAAAACTGCATGTGTTCCGAGACAGGGCCCCAATGCAGCGTCCTCACCTCTGAGTGCAATGAACAGGAGATGAGGGTACTCCGCATCTCTCAAAATCTTGCACATTTGGGCCATGACATCCCATTTATTCTGATGCACCCACAAAAGTGGCTTCCATGCAAATACAAAATTGTGGCCACTAGAGGCCACCCCACAAAATGGCATGAAAACACAGCTCTGGGTCTCTGCTTTCATTCTCTCTTCAGTATCTTGTACTTCAAACAAGCTTTACCTTTCCCAACCAATAGGCAAGGCCTGCCCTTTAACACCCTGCCTAGCAGCCAGTAATCTTAATTACACAGGAGTCTCCCAACTGACTGGCAGGTCTAGCACCAAATCACAGTACCCTGGGAAGAGCAAAACACTGCAGCAGACTGGCAGCCCTAAATTGGGTAAGAAATTAACAGCAATTTGTGCAAATCCATATCCCTGGGTGTAAAGTAGTAGCAGAGATCCCTTCATCACTGATCCGAAGTGGAAAGCCAGATGAGTGTGTGTTTGAAACTCAGATTGGGTGAGTGACATCGATGGCTTTGCCTGGGCAATAGAAAGTTCATGAATTATCTACAATTTCTGGTCTGATTCATGTTTTCTGTCGGTCTGGGAACTTATGTGTCTTATTTTGATTTGTTCCTGCTAGGTATTACTCTAAGAAAAGCCAGCCTGTTTTATTTTTAGGCTCAGAAGGAGCCCGGAAAGGGCAAGGTGGGTTGCCTAAACCAGGAAGTGACATGGAAGAACTTTTTTTGTTTGTCTAGCAAAGCTCCTGATTTGGATTGTGCTTGGATAGTGATTCAAAAATCAAATCTTGCCCTTCCCTCTGCACCCTAACCCAGCTGATTTGCTAGGTGGCTTGCTTCTTCCTCTGCTGGGCATGTGAAGGGCATTTGCTGTATTTGTTGTACCCACTATCACTGGGGGTGGGCCAGGTAAATCCTTTATAGGCCTAAGGCTTGGAAAGAGAGCTTGTGGTTTGTAGCCAAGGCATGGGGCTGAGCAGTGGAGCTACCGGACCCTAGTTCCATCTTTGCCACTTACTTATTCTGTGACCTTGGGCAACTCACTTAGGGTCTGATTTTTGCGGGGTGCTTATCATCCATAGCTTATATTGGCTTCAGGATCATGTAGTTTCAATGGGAGCTGTGGGTGCTCAGCACCTCCAAATATCAGGCCCTTAAACTGCTCTGTGCCTTAGTCTCCCCTGCTATAATAAGGGATCGCTTTGTGAGTCTCTGTTCTTGAGTATTTGTAAAGTGCTTTGATGTTCTCCAGTGAAAGGTGCTTATCAAAGTGCCTGCTACTGCTAGGTCCTTCAGGTGGGCATGGTGCTTCCCAGGCAACTAGAGAGAGTCTTGCCCCTAGGAGCTTGAAGTCTCTAAGGGCCCAATCCTGCTCTCACTGAAGTCAATGGGAGCTTTCATCAAAATGGGGGCAGGCTCAGCCCCCCCGGTTAGAGGAAATGAAAAGTGGCACTATGATCTCTGTTGGGTAGTGGTGGAAGGGCCTGCGATGTTGTCTCTCCTGGGTGTACAACACAAGGTCACTAGGCACTAAAGGAGTGTAAAACAGGACATGGAGGACAGAAAGCTTTTTGACTATGGCTCTTCAAATGCGATGGCCTGACTTTTAATACCACCCAAAGGAACATTTGCCTTCAGTACAACATGCAGTTTAAGTATCGGCTCAGATGAACTGAGTTCTATGCAGTTGGTGCTGTGTGGGTCTCTTGAGGAAAAATCTTAAACACTGAGGTCCCATCTAATATGTTTGAATGTTAGTTTGATTCTGGGGAACTTCTTATGAGAGTAAAGGTTTGCCTGGTGTACTTGGTCAGAATTTCTCATCCCATCCTCCCCCAGTTGACCACCTGGCTACCTGACACTTGTGTGTGTCCATGTCACTATAAATACACTGCTCTCAGGTGGCAAGTGTTGTGATTATTGTTCATTGATTTACCTTTTATTTTTAAATCTTTCTTAGTGTCTAAAATCTCAGGAATATAAGCTGCTGTGCTGTTGACCTACTGGAAATACGGATTGACCCACACCTCTTCCTGGAGTGACTGTCTCGTCCCCACTTTGCCGTGCGGGGAAGAAGGAGACAGCAGCAGATCAGCAATTGTGGGGGTGCTCGGATTCCACTGACCAGCCCATTCCTTAGCTCAGGGGCAGCAAGATGGAAAAGGAGAAGTGGTGTAAAGTGATGGGCCAGGAGGCACCGGCCGTGCCTGCGTCTCTTCTCTGAAGAGCGGTTGCAGTTGTTGAGGAAGCCGCAAGGGAGATGTGTGAATAAGCCAAAATGGAAAGAGGGAATGGCCCAGATCTGCAGCTCCAGCAGCTTCCACTCGCAACAGCTGCTGTATCTGTCCTGCCCCATGAGGATCCCTATTCTTACAAGGTCAGATGTTCACCAAAGGCACCGCCTATTAGGCGTAAAACTTGACCTGAATGGCGCTGGGATTTATGTCTGGCTTGGAAATATAAATATTGTCTTGAATGTGCTGAGCTTTCGGATCATGTGCTGTACATTTGTACTACAGCAGCGCCTAGGGGCCCTCAGGTGCTAGGTGCTGTGTATAGACCTCGTGAGGCACAGTCCCTGCCCTGAAGAACCAACAGCAAGAAAGATGAAGTGAGACAGGAAGGATTATTACCCCCCACTTTATAGAGAGGGAGCTGAGGGACTAAGGCCCAGATCCTCAAAGATATTTAGGCTCCTAACTTTCACTGACTTCATTGGAAGTTAGGAGCCTAAATAACTTTGGGGAGCTGGGCCAAAGATGTTAAGTGACTTGCCCAAGGTCACACAGGGAGCTGGGAAGTGAACCCAACCCTTTAACCAGAAGCCCATCCTTCCTCTCTAACTGGTCCTGAGGCTGGAATTTTCAGAGGATCTTAATGAAGTTAGGATTGGGATTTGGGCTGCTGACTCAAAGGCCCCTTTGAAAATCCCAGCTAGAATGACGATAAACACTGTGCAAGGCTCTTTGCTGAGGATGCAGATCTGAGTGCGGTGCGAGTCTAAGTGCTGCTGAGAGAACTGGCATGGGCACGTTTCAGTATGTCTGGCCTCCTGAGCCAGCAACTCTGAGCTGTACGGCCGGGGCCGTTTGGTGGAGGCAGTGCTTCTGCCATGCCCTTCTAGACTGAGGTTTGGTTGATGAACCAGTGGAACCTACTGAGTTTCTTAGCATGGAATCCGGTCGGGTTATAATATTCTTCCCCTCCTGCTGTCTGCAGTGGGATGTTCTCTGCAGTGTAGACATGCCCTAAATCAAAAACCCATGACTGGCCCATGCCAGCTGGCTCGGGGTAAGGGGCCGTTTAATTGCAGTGTAGATATTTGGGCTCAGGCTGAAGCCCAGGCTCAAGGACCCTGTGAGGGGGGAGGGAGACTGCACTTCACTGTGTCTATACACAGTACCTAGCCCAAGCCCTGAGTCAGATGGCAGCGGTCAGCTGCAGGTGTCTAATTGCAGTGTAGGCATACCCTAGGATACTCTGGGAGAAGTTAACTTGAGGAGACTCATTGCTTATTAAACTCCTTTTGCACCCTAATCACCTTCAACTTATCAAAGAGCTTTCTGTCCCACTTACATACGTAATTCGTTACTTTAAAGCCACTGCCTGAGTGGGCATGAAAAAATAATGCCAAGGCCTTTAATATCAATAGTTGCGGGGAGAGAGAGAGAGAGAGGGACAAATACTCAGCTATCCCAAATAAATCACCTTGAAGTACCCGCTATACCTTGGATAGCTGTGTTTGAAACTAAAACTGTTAATGATGTTCTAATGCGATTTAGACTGTTGCTAGAGGAACGCAAATGGTAAATGTCCCTACTTGACAGAGAGAGATCACTCCAAGCTCTTCTGGTAGCATCGTGATGTGCATCTCTTCTGTGATTCATCCTGACTTTCATTCATTGTTGCTTTAAATTCTGCCTCTAGCTTGTTCAAGGTATTGCTGGGCTGTAAACACTAGTCTGTCAGGAGTGGTTTCCACCCCCTTTTCTCTGGAATGACTTACTGGTTCATTTAAAAGGCACATTCTAAATCTCTTCCTGCATGCTCTTATCCAGCCAGTTGTGAAAGTTGGAGGTCAGTCAAGATATTTATTAGAGGCTGAACCTGGAATTGAAGAAAGGTGCTGAAGAACCTGCCTAATCCGTACTCTGGTGAACACCAAATTCTCAGGTCCTTTATGAAAATGGATTTTTAGGTGTGCTACTTACTGAAAAAAGAACATGGTGCAGGGCTATATTACCTACCTTATGGGGATCTGAAAGAGCTCCATAAACATTAAATTAAGCCTCACAATGCCCATGTCAGGCAGGAAAGTATTATTCAACCCCATTTTACAGATGGGATAACTGAAGGCATTAAGAGACTAAATGACTTGCCCAAGATCATATAGGAATAGTGGCTAGATCTGGAGACAGAACCCAGAGACTCAGAAAGAGGTATTCAAAAATCTGCTTTCTATCAGGATTCTCCCTCTCCCCACCTTCCACTGGCTTCACGGGGCAAATCTAATATCTGCATGTTTGCTTTGCTTTACAGGAAAACTTGATCGGTGCATTACTGGCTATATTTGGTCATCTAGTTATCAGTATTGCACTCAACCTCCAGGTGAGTATCATGAAACAAATATTGACCCTCTCCCAAGCGTCCTTTACTTAAAAAGCAGTAAGGATCCCCAAGTATCTGGTTTTTTTTAATTTTTATTTTTTCCTTTCTAGAAGTATAGCCACATCCGGCTGGCAGGTTCCAAAGACCCTCGGGCCTATTTCAGGACCAAGACATGGTGGTGTGGTCTGTTTTTTCTGCTGCTGGGAGAACTGGGGGTGTTTTCGTCCTATGCCTTTGCACCTCTTTCACTGATTGTGCCACTCAGTGCAGTGTCTGTTATAGGTAAAGGAAAAGGACTCGTGTATCTTTGTTTATGTACCAGTACAAGATTGCTTATGAAAACGCAATGCACATAACTTTGTTTGTCCTTTTTAATAGCTAGCGCAATCATAGGAATTATATTCATTAAAGAAAAGTGGAAACCCAAAGACTTTCTGAGTAAGTTTCACTTCCATTATTCTGTATTCTTCATTTCTGCTTTGAATGCTGCTTAATTTTTACTCCATTACTTCATATAGTATATAGCATGACAGTTATTTAAGGGACACTAATGCTTAAAATAATGTTTTTTCAGTAGAAAGGTTTATCTGATGTTTTTACAAATGGATTTTCCATATCTAGGGTTGATTGTTGAAAATGAACCTGTAAGGTCCCCTCCTTGCTTACTGATCTTAGAAATAGTTCGATGTGGGGTTTATTGGAGGAATCTGATGGAGGCTGATGGCACATCCTTGATCCTGAAAATCCCTTAAATATTGTCTCAGATTAACTGCACCTGTATTCCCCCTTGTCTGGTTCAGCAAGGGCTCCCACTCTCAGGTTTCTGGCATCAGCTCTCTTGGATGGAGACCCATGTCTCTCTCCCTTCTGAGCAATGTATCTCCAGGCTCAGGAGTTCCCTGCCTTCACTATGTTGTTCCTAGCAGAGACAGGGTACCCAAGCAGACCTGCTTGCTTTCTCTGCGGAGACGGTTGACAGTCTGACTGCCCACCGGTATAAGGTACCCCACAGCTCTTTCTAAGCAAGCCTATTTTATTCTTAACATAACAAGCATTACAGAGAACCTATTAAAAACAATTTTAAAAAACCCTACTCCTATACTAATAAATCTACCAGAGATCACCCCAACTCTAATGTGGGCTCTGGCTGGAGCAGTCCTTCCAAACCCCACCCTAGGGGTTTCCTTGTGGTTTCAAGCTAATCACAGCTTCAGCTCAGACCAAGCATGCTCACAACCTGTTTAATCCACCTTTTTATACAGCTCAAGGGTCTTTGATCGAGAGTTTCCAGGACCAGATAATCAATAGACAATGGGTTTTCGTTCCCCAGGCATAGCTTCAAAAGGTGGATTTGAAATGGGTCATTTGCATTCCCCTTACTCCCAGGTATTTTGTAGGAAATCCACCTCACTTGTCTTTTTCAAAAAAAACCTTTGAAGTTCCTGATACCTTCCATTGAAGTTACATACAATTCCACAATAACACATACACAATTACATTTTTAACATGATTGACCCCCAAAGGGTATTAAACCTAATTCAGAATATTGCAGGAAATTGTCAATCTGTCACAAACACAATCAGAGTTCAGTGGAACGACATAGATGTGCAAGTATTTGCTGGTTCGGGGCCTTAGTCTTTCTGCCTCCTGACAGAATGAACACTGCATTGTTAAAGAGGCATTGCCAGGAAGCCTAGGCCCAAAATTTAGCACTCACCCTCACCTATTTGTTTAGAAGACTTTTTATCTTGTGTTAACTCTTGGTTCTCAGCTCACAGCAAATATATTGCTTGTTTTTTCTAATATTTTGAAAGTGGGGCACAGAGGGTGGAGGAATGAACTATTTCCAGGGGGAAGCATGATCTGTAGTTATAACGATCACTATGCATGTGCAGTGTGTAACCCATGCATCTGCACTGATCCACTAACATGTCTTCTGTTTCTTGTCCTTGGTTTGCCAAAGGACGCTATGTTTTGTCCTTCGTAGGCTGTGGTTTGGCAGTTGTTGGAACTTACCTGCTGATAACATTTGGACCCAACAGTCATGAGATGATGACAGGAGATAATATCACTAAGCATTTAGTCAGCTGGCCGTTTCTTTTATACATGGTAAGGTGGCCCATAAAATATGAGCTGGATTCCATGCTTTCTGAAATATGCCTGGCTGGGGCATTCACTTAAAATGGATTTTCATAGATACTTGCTGCATTTTCATAGCATCCAAGGCCAGAAAGCACCATTGTAATCATCTGGTCTGACCTCCTGTATAATACAGGCCATAGAACTTCCCCGAAATAATTCCTAGAGCAGATCTTTTAGAAAAACATCCCATTTTGATTTAAAAATTGTCAGTGATGGGGAATCCACCATGACCCTTGGTAAGTTATTCCAAGGTTAATTACTCTTGCTGTTAAAATGTATGCCTTATTTCCAGTCTGAATTTGTCTAGCTTCAACTTCCAGCCATTGGATCGTGCTATACCTTTCTCAGTTAGATAGACGAGCCCATTATCAAATATTTATTCCCCATGTCCCCACAGATCAAGTCACCCCTGAACCTTCTCTTGGTTAAGTTAAATAGATTGAACTCCTTGAGTCTGTCATTATAAGGCAGGTTTTTGAATCCTTTTAATTATTCTCATCACTCTTACTTGGCTCTGTTAATGACTCTAAGAGCTTTTCCCATAATTGTCTCCCTAGCTTGGAGCATGCATGTGTATGCACAATCTAAAGCAGAGGGTGTATTTTCTAGAACCGATTGGTCTTCAGCTTCCCTTCCCTGTCTGAATTATTGTGCCAGGATTCAAGCACGTTGAAAATATCCCACCCCCTCCCCAACCTGCCACTGTTAACTCCTGGTAACAGACTGCCGATTGGCATCAACTGTGCCTAAGATGCCCATGTACTGTGATTCATATCTGTGCTTTTGCCAGAAGGCAAAAAACCTAATGTTCTCATAATTAGGACCCCATCCAAGTCCCGCTTGAAGGCAGTTGAAAGAGTCCTATTGACTTGAATGGGTGGTGGGTTGGGTCCTCAACCTCTTTAGAAAAAGCTGAATGAGAACAGTGACGTGGGTGCACAATTGGGGTTATTTGGCCTGGTTTTTTGGGGTTTTTTTTTGTTTTGTTTTGTTTGGTTGGTTTTTTTTATTTTAAGGAACACCAAGTCCCCAGAAATTCCCACTCCACTGTTCTTGCAAAAGTCATTGAAGATCTCATCCATTCAGATCACGGCAGATTTGACCTATAGTCTTACTAGATCCTGCCTTAGCTTTGATGGATGTTAGCAGTACCACAATAGGAGAAAATGTGCACAGGATCGTTTCCATCCATCAAGTTTCATGGGACCAGGCAGTTCTGTGGCATCAAATAAAGCTATAGTATTACAAGGCTTATGGGAGGTAGTGTGGCCTAGCGGGTATTGCACAGAACTGAGACTCGGGAGCCCTGGGTTCTATTCCAAACTCTGCCACTGGCCTGCCTTGGTGACCTTGGCAAGTCACTTCCTCTGTCTCTCTGTCTCTGTTTCCCTACCTGTAAAATGGGGATAATGATACTGACCTCCTTTGTAAAGCTTTGAGATCTAATGATGAAAAGAGCTAGGTATTATTACTATTACCAACATGAGCATCAAAGCCACACACACTGCAAGAAAAAGGATTTCCCACCCCATCCCTCACTTTCTAATACTTATTTCTGCATTTTTTTCTAGCTTGTAGAAATCATACTGTTCTGCCTGCTGCTATATTTTTACAAGAGGAAAAGTGCAAACTATATAGTAGTTATTCTTCTGCTGGTAGCATTGCTGGGTAAGTTCAAATGCGTGCTTAACATTTTCTAACTGTGGTTTAATATCACAAATTGGAGTGAAGAGCTCCTGGCGGTGGGGAATGTTAATGCATTTTATGTTGCTAATGTTTATGAAAAGCAAATAAAGCCTGTATCTTGCTATAGTATTTCAGGTTGAAGCAAGTAGAGATGGACAAGACCTATTGGACCATCAGTCCACTCCTCATGGAGGCAGGATCTAGTCCCCCAAATAGACGCTATGTCAGATTCTAAACCCTGCTAATGACAATGTGTTGTGTCCATGTATGCAAAACACTGTGAAGTGTCTTATGGCTTCAGCTGAGATGGAAGGATGATCTTGTGGCTAAAATACAGGATTTTTAGTCCGGGAATCTTTTTGGCTCTGACACTGACTCCCTGTGTGACCTTTGTAAGGCATTTGACCTCTCTGCGTCTCCATTTTCCCCATCTGTAAAATGGGAGGCTGGGATGTTGGGGAATCTAAATTACATGAATGTTTGTGAATTGCTTGCTTTTGAGATCCTCAGTTGTAAGGTGCTAAAGGAGGATGGAAGATGATTACTGTGACTGTTGTATGAGCCATTATAGTCTTAAAGGAAGAGCTGCAGTTGTATTTATGGCTTCTTGGGGCTCCAATACAATACTATGTCAACAGATCCATGTTGAGTCCAGAAGAAGCTCTGGAGATGGGGCAAAATCCTGGCTCCATTGATGTTAATGGGAGTTTGCCATTGACTTCACTAAGGCCGGGATTTCGCCCCTAGCGTTTTCCTTCCTGTTGATCTGTCATCTTAAGAAACACCAAGTGAACGAAATAATAGAAAGGCAGAGAAACAAACTGACGTGCTAAAGAGTTTGGAGTTGAAGGTTCCACTTGGTGTATAACTAGCTCCGTGATCGGTGCTTGGAAAGCAGTATTCAGTGTGCTGCAGTGCTCTCTCAAGCTTTGCTATATATGTAATACCCATCACTGTGGTATCTAGCTTAATAACTGGAGGCCTGATAGGGCAACCAAATCGTGGACAGGGTGACCACCTTAATTCTGAATTGCCTTGACTTGTGTTTGCAGAAATGGGGAAGAGAATTAGCTTTTCTCAATCCTAATTCTTGAGCTGTGTTTAGAAAATTTCTCCATTTTAGTAATAAAGCTGGTACACCATCAGAAGTAAGGCATATTTGTACCCTTCTAGTCCCTTTTGTTTGATCTTAAGGCTCTGTTCAAACATTAATGGAGATTGGGTAAATACCAGCATTCTACAGGTGGGGAAGCAGCCACATGCAGAGGTTAAGTGACTCACCCAAAGTCACATGGTGAACCAGTGGCAGAACTGAGAACAGAAGTCAAGAATCACACTCCTCCCCGTTTTGTCCTTTGCAAAAGGAAGGCTGAGGCTCGTCACCTTTTGCTTTGCTAGCAGCCACCCGTTGTGCTGTTAACAATCCAGTGATATGTGCTGCTATGTTATAACTGAGCTTTGTTACATATTCACAGGGTCTATGACTGTAGTGACTGTGAAGGCTATAGCAGGCATGATTATTGTCTCAATACAAGGAAGCCTCCAGCTCGGCTACCCTATATTCTACATCATGTTGGTATGCATGGTTGCAACAGCAGTCTTTCAAGCAAGGTGAGTTGATCAGGTCTCTTTTCCTGTTGTGGCTTACAGCTGTGGAGTAGAATGTAGTTAAGATGTTTAGAAATCAACCCACATGGATAAGAATAGGTAATTAACTTGCTCACTGTTATGCTGGCCCTGAGAGAGGGAAGTTCTTCATCTCTTTGCTATGTAAACACCAGATCCTTCATAATAACCATAGTACTGAGAATTAAAAGAAAGATACAAGATTGTAATTCAAAATAGAATAGCGGCCATTTCTCTGAAACCATAATGTTAATGAAAACTTGATGCTGACAGATTGCCAATACCTGTAAGCCAGGTTTTTTCATTAAAGGCCTGTTTCTACTCGCACTGAAACCTATGGGAGTTTTGCCACTGACTTCAGTGGGAGCACTGTTAGCCCTCCGCTAACAATATTGCCTAAGTCTGCTGTACGCTACAAAAAGAAGCATTATCAGCACTCTCCTCTGACCCGGTATTAGGAACGTGGATACAAACTTTTTAAAAATCTGGCTCCATTGACATCCATAGCAAAACTCCCACTGGCTTCAGTGGGGCCAGGATTTCCCTTTGGGGGTCCGACTCTCCTTTTAAACTGCTATGATAAGGAGTGACTCCACTGAAGTTATAAGGAAGAAGAGAAACTAGAATCTTTATCTAGAGAGCGTTCTTTTGAGAGGTGTCTTCAAACAGGGAAAGAACTATCTCCTACAGAAGCAACTTCTAAACACATATTGAGAATTCTTCTTCTAAAAAAAAAAATAAAATCAACCTGCATTGTTTGCCATTGTATTTGAAGGTTTCTAACCCAAGCTTCGCAGCTGTATGACTCATCACAGATTGCCAGCATAGGCTACATCCTGTCCACAGCAACAGCGATTACAGCAGGTAAACACTTGTGCAATGTTATCAGGTTTATTGTTCTTTTAAAATAAGGGCAAAAGACTTTGGAGAAAAATCCTGATTTTCTAGCTGAGGAAGATAACTTGCATTTTCTTGCTGTTTTCTGTAGTCAGTTTCATTTTGTGTGAATTAATTAGGTTGTTGGAAAAAACTTTCTCTTAAAAACCAAATCAGCTATCCGATCTTGTCTGAGACTGGATTACTCACTCTGTCCTAAAGTATGAAAAGAGTGGGTGTCTTGCAGTCTGAATGCTTGCTAGATGTGTAGCTAAGGTCCAGGGCTAAAACTCCTCTACTATTCGTTGGGGCTTGACTAAACATAAAAATTGTATTGTTTTAATTATACTGGTGTAATTAAAGTGACACAACCCCCTAGTGTGGATGGAGTTATGCTGGTGTCTAAAGGTATTTATTCCAGTGGAGTTATTCCCGTACAGGAAGAGGAATGAGCTATACCAGCATAAGGCCCCATTATAACAGTATAACTGCATCCGCTCTAGGGTGTTGTACCAGTAAACCTATTTTGGTAAAATATCCAATCCCTAACTGACAGATTTATACCAGTATAACTTAAGTGTACAGCAGGCATTTCTTTAGGCCCCCGTTCCCCCCCCCCCCCTAAAAATGATTTGATTGCTGGAGAAAGCAGTGATTTAAAATGTAGCTATACTTGCTCAGTCACATGGGGGAGAGAATCTAATTTAAGCTAAAACCTGTTCATGTTCTCTCCTCTTGTCTCAGGAGCAACCTTCTACTTGGACTTCACTGGTGAAGATGTTCTCCATATATGCATGTTTGCACTAGGGTACGTTTTTAAAGATACCAGGCCAGATCCTCAGCTGGTGTAAACTGGCATGGTGCTATTGAAGTGAATGAAACATTGCTGATTTACACAGATGCTTACTGTGTTAGCAAACTGAAATGTATTTCTCTATATGGCTAACCTTTAAAAAGGTGGGGGGAGGTTATTGTCCTCTGTGGCATGAATTTTTTTATTGAAACATATCTGGGACTCATTTATACGACTGCTTTGTCTTCTAGCCTCCAATGGTGTGTAGGATAACATACCCCGAAAACTGTCCTACCAGAATGTAAAATAGCGCATGAAGTCCATGTCTTGTCTCTGACATAGGCCCAAGGTGGATGCTTCAGAAGGGCGTAAAAGCTCTGTTGTGCACGCAGTTGTGCAACAGCTATACCACGTGGGGAAACTTCTTCCTGACCCTAGATGGAGACCAGCTTATGCCCTGAAGCATGAATCTTCATACCAGTTACCTTTATCCCCTTTAACGTTTCGAGTAAGGTACTAAAGGTGTCCCTCCTAATTTCCAAGCAGGACTAGAACCAAATAAATGACCGAGAACCCATCCCAGGTTTTATGCTGAACCTATGCTGGGCTGGGGATAGGGTTTTGGGAGTCCAATCAAGTACTGCTTAGAAACTCATGCAGTGCAGACAGGATCAGTAAAGCTCTTAGTTATATATCTCGGTACTGAGTCTCGTTACAATGCGTTGATTTTTAAAGTAGCTCTCCCTAAACAGGGGACACATTAAACTATGTTACAAATTAATGCAGAAACACAGACCCACTGAAAGTACTAATTAACCTTGTCTCTTCTCATTAGCATACTGCAGAAATTAGGGCTGACAACTGTCAGTACATTTACCTACAGAAATGCCAAAAAGGTTATACTGTTGAATCTCGGCATTTAGAAAGGGTGAATCAAACTTTGGGTTGTTACCATTCCCCTGTGATTCGTCAAGACTTCAGCAATTCCCATAAGTGCAAATTAATAACTGAGCATTTTGCCAAGGGAAAGGTTGACTTGTTCTGATTACAAGTTGCACACAGCATGGATCTCAATAATGTGAACATAGTCATTATTCAGCTAAGAGACACTGGTCCCTGGTGTAACTCTGCTCTGCAGGTTCCGTCTCTTCCAGCTCTGTGTTCTGTTCTTCTGGTGCAGGATGAACATTCAGAAAAAGCAACAACCTTGGCTTGTTGACTTCTTTTTTTTTTTCCACTCATTTCACTAGGCTTTTTCTCCTCTTCTTTCCCTTTCCCGCCCCTTCTCTCTCAGGTGCCTCATTGCATTTTTAGGTGTCTTCTTAATCACAAGAAACAAGAAGAAATCCATACCATTTGAACCATACATCTCAATGGATGCTATGCCAGGTAACAGGAAAAGTCCAATATTTTGCCATTCTGCCTCTTAAACGTCAATTATCAGAATAAAAAGTCATGTTTTGATTTTGCTCTACATTTTATTTTATTTTAGCATTTGTTCAGTGTTGCATCCTGTTGGGCTGCTGTGGTATTATTTTTTCTTCTTTTTATTTGTTAAACGGTTTATGCATCCGTAACTTTTTCTCTTCATGATGGGTTGCTTCTATATCTTTGATAGCCCAGCAGTGTAAATCATCACAATGCGATTGATATGATGAATGTAGCTTTGGTGTCAAAATCATTTTAAAAGGAATACAGAGGGTCTGATTCTCATTTACGCTAAGGATGCTTTATATTGTTCTAGTTGGCAAAGGGACCTTAAAGTGGGACTATATCCCTGCCAGAGTGGTGTGATGTTGCCTTAGCGTTCATAAAAATCGGGTCTAGAATCTGAAGCAAACTTAACAAAAATCAGATCTTTTAATCTATAAATCACTTTACAAACACCAGTTGGGGAGAAACTCTGTCCTCCAGTGGGTGAAGCAGAGAGAGTAGGGGCCCAATGTCGCACAATGCTGTATGCTCTTAACTCCTACTAACCACAGGGGGAGTTGTAGGTGCTCTGTACCCCTGAAAAATCAGGCCACTAACATATACAGTGAAAAATGAATATAATTATACTTCACAGGATGAAGTAATCAATTCTTAGGTCCTGAATATTAATTGCTCCAAGCACTCGATGCCCCTCTCATGAAAGGTGCTCCAGAAATTCAAAAGATTAAGAATAAACTTTGGGGAAAGGGGAGGATTGTAACTAAATGATGTTCAAATTAATGATAGCTGACTGCCATCACCCGCCCACAAGGAGCTTAGCCGCTGTAATTTTCCAGGGTTATTTATGTCTTTCTGTTTAACACTCACACAACTGATAGGGCAAATTGCTAGCCCTGAAATTGTATAATTTGTCAATAACAGGGCGGAAGAAGAAGGGACTTCTCTTCCTAACCACTTAATCCCTGTCTTTCCTCCCCCTGTTGCAGGCATGCAGAATGTGCACGACAAAGGAATTGCAGTTCAGCCTGACCTCAAAGCTTCCTTTTCCTATGGTGCCCTAGAGAACAATGATAGCATGGCGGAGATCTACACTCCAGCCACACTGCCAATAGTACAGGAGGAGCATGGCTCCAAAGGAGTTTCTGCACTGCCCTACCGTGTGCTGGAGCACAGTAAAAAGGAGTGAGTGCTCTTTAAGAAGCTGACTTAGGGCAACAAGAGTGTGGTCTTTATTTATTTATCGCTTTGGTTTTTAGATCCATTAAAATATAAATGAGTATGTTACAGCTGAACTCAGTATGGTTTAAAACTAGTCTCAAACTTAACTTTCAAGACGGATTATTTGAATAAAGGACTCTGTATAGTTGTGGACTTGGAAGCATTTGTCCTAAGCTAGCAGTAAATCATTGCATCCTTAAAAGACGGACTAACTTTGAACATGCAATGACAGGCAGTATTGTGGCTATCTGATATTGACCGGACAGCTGGCACTGTGAAGATGCAGAGCTGTGTGAAGTACAGTGACTGTCACTTTTCAGCTCAGCCAGCAGTAGGTACAACACAAACTGAAGTCAACAGTACTGAAGGGCAAAATTTGGTTTATCATATATCAATTATGAAGGAGTTCCAAAAAGTTGGACCTTGATATGTTGGTTACCTCATGAACACTTCTTTAGCATTGCATTAAAATGTCACTGAACTAAAGCAAAGGAGTGTTGCCAGTACTGTGTTTTAGGAATGGTATAAAACAGTAGAATAAGAAGTAAATGATCTGATCCACCTTTTTTTTTCAGACCATAAACGTGCTGTATTTCTCAATAACCGCTACGCTCTGTCTATTGTTGAGTGAGATGTGCATGTCAAATGTGTTTTGTAGCACCATTGTGTTAGACTGCACATCAATTTAGGACACAGATGATGGTCACCAGTTTTCTAATTTCAGAGGATTTGCCACGGACTGGATTAGATGGTGTAGAAATTGACACAGTGAAGTGCAAGAAATGAAAATGGCATTGTAGTTGGTCAAACTTTCGATTTACCAACTTGGTGTTCCTGTATTTCTTTGTAAGGTCTAAATTCAATTTTGTTTCCTGAACAAAAGATTCAGACTCAGATTTTTCAAAGCTGTCTGAAAGATTTGGATGCTCAATGGTGTCCAAATCCCTTTGGCAAATTTGAAAATCTCAGCCCCAGTGCTGTGGGGTTTTGTTTTCCTTCAAAAGTAAAAAGGCAGCAGCCCATTACTTGTGAGCAATCCAACAAGAATAAATGAACATGCACGCTTCACCACTTGTGAGCAGGATAACAATAACACAGTAGTGTGCATTCATTCATGATAAAGGGAAAAATATATTTAATTTTCTATCTTCTAAAGGGTAGTTAGAAGCAGATAGGGAGGAATTTTGTCAGATTAAAGGGACATGGTCAAAGTATATGTTTTTATGAGTATAATACATGCAGCTGCATATAACTTACATCTGCTTTTCAGGCAGTTGCACTTTAACTTTTTTTGTCCCCTATCTAAATATATCTGTCTTACTAAAGAATGGAATTTTAAGTCTGCTCAGTGCAATTCAGCCTATCTTCATAGCAGTGTGGCTGAACAAACAAGCAGAAGCTTCTTTGAAGTCAATAGCAATTGCTTTCTGTGCACTGCACAAAGTTACTCCTACACAAACTGGGCTGAGAGGACCTAGGATTTGCAAAAGCGGGTTTGTGTACTTATATACAGGGGGCCAGATTCTGCTCTCACTGGCAAAAATCCACAAGAATTCCATTGATTTGGGTAAAATATATCGTAAATGAGAACAGAATTGGTTCTTCTGCATCAAGTGTTTGCTTTGTTGGCTATAAATACTACTTACACCTGCAAATACTTGCCACTGCTTTGGTACTTTCTGAGCAGCTTGAAAAAAATTGTATAAAAGACCTCAGAACAGGTGGATGGCCACTTTATATATTTCTGCTTTACACAGAGCTGCTTGACATGTCTGACAATTCAGAGCTTATCAATGGCATCCTGTACATTCGAGCTTATGAAACCTAGAGAAATATCTGCCTTTTTTTTTTTTTTTTGCCCATCATGCTTAAGCAAGATAACAAAGTTAATGGACTAGTATTGCCAGAACTTTAAACTTATTGGATTTCCCCCTGATATTGATTTAGTACCATTGGCTTTCAATCCCCAGTAGTCAACTATTTGTGAATGTACGTGTGGCTTTTGTTCATTAAAGATACAAAGCAGAATAGTAAAAGAGAGGGTGTATGGGGGGAGGCAAGAATGCTCGCTTCTCATATCTCTTCCCTTTTAATCACTGAGGCAGTAGGCGTTTTGACATTGTGGCTATTAAACCACAGAAACATATTACATCAGTATAGATCAGCACTAAACCACAAATGCATACAAATTCAATGTTTAACATTCTAAAGCTCTCTATATCCTGGAGCCCTCTGCAGTAAATGACATTAACTAGTGTCTGGTTTAATGGGCCTGATCCTACTATAATAATGGAAGTCAGCTACCAGTTGACTTCAATGTTTGCGTTATTGATCCTGCCATGGGCTACATACAGCCCTTTGTGTTACTCAATGTTGTTTTCATAGCTGCTTCTGGAATTTTAGTGGTATTTAAAAAGAAATAAAAAATTGCAGCTGAACAATATGCAAAATTCCCAGAGAGTAAATATTTAGGCTCTTTAGTACATGGTTGTCTTTATTACTGACACCATGGAAGAGATTCTCTACTGTGCCTCTAAGGGACACAGCACAGAACTCTAAGCCCAAGGGACAGGGGGTCTGGTGACTTTAAGTCACCTTTTGTACTGTTCCTAGGCATAAAAATAATAGATAACCGTCTTCTACAGATCTCCACAGTGCTGCACCCATGCCCCGACACACACCTCCTGCCCCTGACTCTTGGCACAGGATATGGCTGTCTTCTGCAGATCCTGCACTGGGGAAATCCATCCCTGGCCAGGTCCCAGGGGCTTTTAGATTTTCACATAGCTCTGACCCTTTTACTGGGTAGGGCAAGAGACTGTTTGGACTCTTTATAAAGATTTAAGCAGTTCAGCCTCATTTCAAGGGTTAATGGGCCATTCTTCGATGTGTTTAAATGTTCATTGCATTTTCTTTCAATAAAACTCGCTTTTAAAACTTTCTCCCAAATGGCTCTAGTGACGGTGTGATGTGTATGGGTGTGTATATAACCTATATAAAAATAACAGCTTGGGCTGCTCCAGTGTGCCGTGTTAAGGCAGCACTGGGTGATCTCAGTATGCAACTTTGTGACCAACCACACTAACATAGGAGCAGCACCTTCACCAGTGTAATTTTTGTTTTTATTATGTTGGTCCTACTGCCACTCATGACATGGCCAATAGCTTGTACTTCATGAGTACTTGCTGCATGTGTTCAGCGCTTGATATTTAAAATGGCCTCATAAATCACCTCCCCTGCATTATTCCTCAATACTGTGTTGCAGCCACCATCCCTGTTAACCAAGTAGAAGTGCATGGCACTCCCTCAGAAGCTACACCCTTCTCTGCAGAAACCCTGCACTCCGATTAAGCAGTCTTCCAGCCCCAGCAGTTACAGAGCACAATTAGGTATCAAACCAAACGTCCCCCACCCACTTAACAGCCTAGAGCATGCTTACAAGGGCAGGCCCTGTGGACTGGTTTTAATTTCAATTTATACACTCTTTACAAAATACTTTTAGGGCTGAGATGCCATGGATTACAATTCAGGTTGCAGCAGATATTTACAGCTAAACTGACCATTAGAATTTTAAAAGAGTACATATCCACCTCACTTTCACCTTCCACACATCCCAGTCCTCCTTGCAACTTCTAAAATAGTCTATTTATTCTCAAATAAATAGTTTAAGCAGCATATTTTGGTCTGAGCTTCAGTCAGGGCTTGATCCTGAGATGTAGAGAGCACTTTCAAAACCCACTGACTATACCCATTGAGGCACAACTTCTCAGAATCAAGCCCTTAAAGTATGCACAGAAACCAGTGGACTGCTCCCTCTCTTACTAAAATGGTGGTGTATGGGAATACTGTGACTGTAATCATCCCTTAACTCCTTCCTTTACTCCTAGAATTAAAAGCTGCTTTATGGAATGTAAGACACTTATTGCGTCTGCAATGGAAACTGTGTGGCTTTTCAATGTACCAGGCGCTTAAATATATTCTAAAAGTCTCTCTCACTTGTAAAAAGAAAAGGAGGACTTGTGGCACCTTAGAGACTAACCAATTTATTTGAGCATGAGCTTTCGTGAGCTACAGCTTGTAACTTTATACTGTGGAATATAAGCCTGATGTTGGCTGATATACAAAATGATTTGCCTACGAAGTTTTGTTCACATTAAAACATGTAAATAAAGAGCCTTACATTATGAATTATAATAACTTAATTTTTCATAAGCCATGTTGCATGTTTATTTAATTGTCCTTTAGGTAAGCGCTTCAAAAATGAGACTTAATAAAAGGTTCTGGTAAAATCTATGGAACTCTTTCTTGACCAATAAGATAACAATTATGATTGTATTATATTCATATTAAGAGAGAAGTCATGACAGTAGAGCATTATAAGCAATGAATGATACATACATTCAAAGAGAACAAAGTCTGCTTTTGGATGGGTGACTTACAGGGAAATCCATGGCACTGAGACTGGGTTGGGAATTGCAGTGTTGCCAAGTCTCACAATATTTGGTGTTGGTTGGAATTATTTAGCTGGAAAGCCCCATCTCCTGGATTCATGAAATTACATAAGAAAGTTAGTTTACATTTTTTTAAAAAATCTAGCCCTCGTGATTTCAGAGAAAAGCTTGAAAATGTGACTCAAGCGTACTTTAGAGTTATATTTAACTTCTGGTTCTTGACCCTTTATTTATTTTTTTTAAATCTCATGATTTTGGGGGCCTGACTCATGATTTTTTGAGTGCTTGGGGTTGGCAATACTAGGATTAAGGAAGTGGCACTCTTCTCTCTGAGGTGCTACCCATCCATTACCCTGCTGTGATGACTGGGAGCACTGGAGATGCATGTCTTTGCTTTCAAGTCCAGAGGGATTTGAAAATGTATCAGCATTTCCTATCACTGCCTTTATGAAATAGAGATTATAAATTTAGAATACGGGCAATAAATCTTAATTGAATGCTTGCCAACCTAATTGATACTGACCATATGGGGACCGTATTCCACAGGGATAAGCAGAAGATAACCCTGAGAATACTCTTAATTAAATGTATACACTGGGGACCCATATACAAGTGGAAAAAGCACTGGAAGCCATATGTCCTGGTGTTGAAAAGGCTTTTAACAGGAGTCACTACATACTACATTGTAAAATATGAAAGTGAAAATATTAAAACATATAGTACAGGGACACTGGCAACATTCCCCACAGATTTCAGAGTGTTAGTCTGTATCAGCAAAAACAACAAGGAGTCCTTGTGGCCCTTAGAGACTAACAAATTTATTTGGACATAAGCTTTTGTGGGCTATAACCCACTTCATCAGATGCATGGAGTGAAAAATACAGTAAGCAGTATATATATGAAAAGATGGGAGTTGCCTTACCAAGTGGGGGGTCAGTGCTAATGAGGCCAATTCAATTAAGGTTTCAGCTGGAAACAAAACCTTCCATTGTTCAGTAGAATTTTGCTGTAGTACATTGTCAAACAGTTACTGAATTGCATTCTGAAGTGGCTGCATTTCATCATTAGGTGAAATTATTTGTATTACAGAGATTGTAATCAATTTGTGTTTTAGGGTCAAAGGAACTATATAAATATGCCCCTGCAGAATCAGTTGATAGAGATTTATTACAGTCCCTATATAAGGACAGAATATATTATTGGCTCTAAGAGAGGAAGTATCACATAGTAAATTGATACAGCATTTGATTGCAGCCATAAAGGATATGATAATAAAGGATAACTACATATTGCCTCTGTTGCTGTATTTAAATGGCAGAATTCCTTGCCTACAGAAGTGAAATTAAGAATGCCTTTCTGAGAATGCTTTGTTTATCTTCCTTCCTTCCATTACAGGAGAGCCTTTCTTTGAACAGATGTAAATGGGAAAGCTACTAAGGGAGATCAGACTAACGTTCTTTTCTGCCTTTCCTTGGCCATAGGTAAATTTTAGAAGAAAGCATTTAAACCAGGGTAAGTACAGCACGTTAAATTGAGATCCTGGCCTGCAGCAGCCCTCTCCCCATAGCTGCAGAGTGAGGACAAAAATGATCAACAAAAGGTTTTTAGCATTGGTGAAATCAAACAGCAATTTTTATTTGCCTCTCATGGAATATAAAAGTACAGGCAAATGTTTGTAGGCACTTGGTTTCGATATAAACTTAGGTAACCACATGCAAATATATCACAAAGTTTGGGCAGCTAGGGGGTTAGGCAAATAATCTCATCACTGGATTAATTGTTTTTACTTTGTGATAGATGAAATATTAATTCCTGCAGGTCCCTCTCTTATTCTGCCATTTGTTCCCAACCCCTACCTAAAAAACGTGAGTGAGGGGACAAAATGAAAATTTTATTTTGAACTTTTAGCTGTGTTAGTATGGATGAACATCATAATTAATACAATACTAGCAACATGTCATATAAACATTGTTGAACCCTATTTCATATAATTCTTTTCCAGTTTTGTCCATTTCCAGCTAAAATGTAGGTTAACTGTTATACGTGCAACAGAGGAAAATATGCTTTTGTTTTAACGTAACACTACTTTTTAGAAATTCTGGAGACTTCTGTAGTAGACTCCGCTTCTTGAGATTTGTATTGTAATTTCAAATAGAATGTAATGGAAGAAGGAAATTTCTGATATATAAATTAGGGCTGTCAAGCGATTAAAATAATTAATCATGATTAATTGCACGATTAATCATACTGTTAATAATAGAATACCATTTATTTAAATATTTTTGGGTGTCTTCTACATTTTCAAATATACTGATTTCAATTACAACACAGAATACAAAGTGTACCGTGCTCACTTTATATTTATTTTTGATTACAAGTATTTACACTGTAAAAAAACAAAATAAATAGTATTTTTCAGTTCACCTAATATAAGTACTGTAGTGCAATCTCTTTATCATGAAAGTTGAACTTACAAATGTAGAATTATGTACAAAAATAATTGCATTCAAAAATAAAACAACGTACAATTTTAGAACCTGCAAGTTCACTCAGTCCTACTTCTTGTTCAGCCAATTGCTCAGACAAAAAAGTTTGTTTACATTTGCAGGAGATAATGCTGCCTGCTTCTTGTTTACAATGTCACCTGAAAGTGAGAACAGGCATTCACATGGCATTGTTATAGCCAGCAAGTTATTTATGTGCCAGATGCACTAAAGATTCATGTCCCTTCATGTTTCAACCACCATTCCAGGGGACATGCGTCCATGCTGATGATGGGTTCTGCTTGACAACAATCCAAAGCAGTGTGGACCGATGCATGTTCATTTTCAATATCTGAGTCACATACCACCAGCAGAAGGTTGATTTTCTTTTTGGTGGTTCAGGTTTCTGCATTGGAGTGTTGCTCTTTTAAGACTTCTGAAAGCATGCTTCACACCTCATCCCTCTCAGATTTTGGAAGGCACTTCAGATTCTTAAACCTTGGGTTGAGTGCTGTAGTTATCTTTAGAAATCTCACATTGGTCCCTTCTTTGCATTTTGTGAAATCTGCAGTGAAAGTGTTCTTAAAATGAACAACGTGCTGGATCATCATCTGAGACTGCTATAACATGAAATATATGGCAGAGTGCAGGTAAAACAGAGCAGGGGACATATAATTCTCCGCCAAGGAGTTCAGTTACAAATGTAATTAACACATTATTTTTTTAACAAGTGTCATCAGCATGGAAGCATGTCCTCTGGAATGGTGGCTGAAGCATGAAAGGGCATACAAATGGCACATAAATACCATGCTGTGCCGGCTACAAAAGTGCCATGCAAATGCCTGTTCTCACTTTCTGGTGACATTGTAAATCAGAAGAGGGCAGCATTATCTCCAGTAAATGTAAACAAACTTGTTTGTCTTAGCGATTGGCTGAACAAGAAGTAGCACTGAGTGGACTTGTAGGCTCTGAAGTTTTACATTGTTTTGTTTTTGAGTGCAGTTATGTAACAACAAAAAATCTACATTTGTAAATTGCACTTTCAGGACAAAGATTGCACTACAGTTCTTGTACGAGGTGAACTGAAAAATATTATTTTTTTGTTCATCATTTTTACAGTGCAAATATTTGTAATAAAAATAATATACACTTTGATTTCAATTACAACACAGATTGTACAACACAATATATATGAGAATATAGAAAAACATCAAAAATATTTAATAAATTTCAGTTGGTCTTCTATTGTTTAACAGCGCAATTAAAACTGCGATTAATCACATTTAATTTTTTAAATCGCAATTAATTTTTTTGAATTAATCGCATGGGTTAACTGTGATTAATTGACAGCCCTAATATAAATTGTAAGGACCTATGGGCAGGGACTGACTCTCACAATGTGTGTACAGCACCTAGGGTAATGGTGACCTGAGGCCACGGCACACCTGGTGGCTGAGCTTTGTGACTTTGTCCTCACCCACAACCATTTCAGATTTGGGGACAATTTATACCTGCAAGTCAGTGGCACTGCTATGGATACCCGCATGGCCCCACAGTATGCCAACATTTTTATGGCTGACTTAGAACGCTTCCTCAGGTCTCGTCCCCTAGCACCTGTCCTCTACTTGCGCTACATTGATGACATCTTCACCGCATGGACCCACGGGAAGGAGGCCCTTGAAGAATTCCACCTGGATTTCAACAATTTCCACCCCACCATCAACCTCAGCCTGGACAAGACCACACAAGAGATCCACTTCTTGGACACTACAGTGCAAATAAGTGATGGTCACATAAACACCACCCTATACCAGAAACCTACTGACCGCTATACTTACCTACATGCCTCCAGCTTCCATCCAGGACACAGCACATGATCCATTGTCTACAGCCAAGCCCTAAGATACAACCGAATTTGCTCTAATCCCTCAGACAGAGACAAACACCGACAAGATCTTTATCAAGAATTCTTAAAACTACAATATCCACCTGGGGAAATGAGGAAACAGATTGACAGAGCAAGACAGGTACCCAAAAATCACCTACTACAGGACAGGCCCCACAAGGAAAATAACGTAACACCACCGGCCATCACATACAGCCCCCAGCTAAAACCTCTCCAGCACATTATCAACGATACACAACCTATCCTGGAAAATGATCTCTCACTCTCCCAGACCTTGGGAGACAGGCCAGTCCTTACTTACAGACAGCCCCCCAAACCTGAAGCAAATACTCACCAGCAACTACACACCACACCACAGGACCACTAACCCAGGAACCAATCCCTGTAGCAAACCTCGTTGCCTAGTCTGTCCCCATGTCTACTCTAGCAACACCATCAGAGGACCCAACCACATCAGCCACACCATCATTCACCTGCACGTCTACTAATGTTATATATGCCATCATGTGCCAGCAATGCCCCTCTGCCATGTACAATGGCCAAACTGGACAGTCCCTACGTAAAAGAATAAATGGACACAAATCAGACATCAGGAATGGTAACATTCAAAAGCCAGTGAGAGAACACTTCAATCTTCCTGGACATTCTATAACAGATTTGAAAGTAGCTATACTTGAACAAAAAAACTTCAGATGAAGTGAGCTGTAGCTCACGAAAGCTTATGCTCAAATAAATTTGTTAGTCTCTAAGGTGCCACAAGTACTCCTTTTCTTTTTGCGGATACAGACTAACACGGCTGCTACTCTGAAACCAGACTTCAAAGAGAAACAGCAGAAATAAAATTCATTTGCAAATTTAACACCATTAATTTGGGCTTGAATAGGGACAGGGAGAGGCTGGCTTATTACAGAAGCAGCTTTGCTTCTCCTGGATACCTCCTCATCTATTGTTGGGAGTGGACTACATCCACCCTGATTGAATTGGCCCTGTCAGCAGTGGTTCTCCACTTGTGAGGTAACTCCCTTCTCTTCATGTGTCAGTATATTTATGTCTGCATCTGTAATTTTCACACCATGCATCTGAAGAAGTGGGGTTTTTACCCACGAAAGCTTATGCTCAAATAAATCTGTTAGTCTTTAAGGTGCCACCGGACTCCTTGTTGTTTTTGTGGATACAGACTAACACGGCTACCCCCGATACTGTTTTTAGTGGAGGCCTCTAGACGGTACTGTAACAAAAATACAAAAAATAAAAAATTTAAAAAACAAAACTGGGAAGAAGTCCGAATGGATTAGCAAGTTAGAGGGAGAGAGAAACCTGTGTGTGTACATGAATCCAGAATATGGGAGGGGGATGTTTATGCATACACAGAATATGGTGGGGGCCTAGAAATCTCCCTGTGTGTCTGTACGCACGCTGTGGTAGAGTCCCAAAGGCTGCAACAACACTGCAGTGAGTACATTAGAATTATTTATAAGGGTTTGCTAGCTCAGGGTATCCCATCTTTAGTAATAACAGTGTGTAGCATTGACCCAGGCTCAACATGGGGAACCCCACAGCCCTTCCAGGAGGGAGCTGCTACAACTTCAGCTTGTCCGAGTTTCATCCATCAGTCCAGCCAGGGCTCTGCCCTCTCTAACATGTCTAGTTCCCCAGTGCCTCCCCCATGTTACCCCCCAAAGCAATGCCCCCTTTAGCCCAGCCCCTCCCCCACATTACCCCCCAAGGCAATGCCCCCTTTAGCCCAGCCCCTCCCCCACGTTACCCCCCAAGGCAATGCCCCCTTTAGCCCAGCCCCTCCCCCACAGTACCCCCCAAGGCAATGCCCCCTTTAGCCCAGCCCCTCCCCCCACAGTACCCCCCAAGGCAATGCCCCCTTTAGCCCAGCCCCTCCCCCACAGTACCCCCCAAGGCAATGCCCCCTTTAGCCCAGCCCCTCCCCCCACATTACCCCCCAAGGCAATGCCCCCTTTAGCCCAGCCCCTCCCCCCACATTACCCCCCAAGGCAATGCCCCCTTTAGCCCAGCCCCTCCTTCACACTGCCCCCCCCCAGAGGATACCCCGGGGAGGCGGGGCTCCATCTCATCCCACACACCCCTTCCCACGCGAGTGGCTCCCCAAAGTCAGACGAATACCGGGCGACGGCGGGCCGTCAAGAGCCGGCGCATGCGCAGGAATCACCATCAGGCCCCCCCCCACGCGCGCGCTCGCTCCCTTCCCATCCGGGTCACACTTCCCTCCCCTCCCCCGCCACCCCTGTGGCGATGCGAGGACGGGAGCGCGCGCGCGCTCGCGCGTCCCCAGGGAGAACTACAGTGAGCGCGCCCGGACGGGGGGGGGGCCGTTTCCCTCAGCTGCTGCCATCGCTGCTAGCTCCCCCCCAACCGTCTTTCGTCCTGCCCGCCTTCCTCCCAGAGGGCGCCGGGCCCTGCGCGGCGGTCGACTGGAAGCCCAGGCGGGGACGGTGAGTCCTCAGCGCGGACACCGAGCTGCCCCCCCATGTTCTCTCTGTGCCGCCGCCCGCCCCGTCCCGCCTCCTTTCCCTCACAACGGCCCGCCGGGGGAGCCGCCTCGAGCCTCTCCGTGGGGCGGGTGGGCGAGCGCGCGCGCGGGGGAGGGGGATCAGCTAGCCAGCCGCCCTGGGGCGGCGGTGGGTTTCGCAGCCGCCCCGTGCTGGTGGTTTGCGGCGGCGGCCTCCGCCGCGTCTAAAGGGCGGGGATGGGCGGTTGGCTCGGCCGAGTGTCCGTCGCCCCGACCCGTCCCTCCGGGCTGCTGCGGGCCGCAGGCCCCGGGTGTGAAGGGGGAAGGGCTCGAGGAGCGGGGAGAGGCTCCCCTGCCTGCCTGGCCCCGAGCAGCGCTGGCGCGGTGGGGGTTAAAGGGGTGGGGGTGGGCCAGGGGCCGCGCAGGAGCTGCGAGTCGCCCAAAGTTTGGAGGCCACCCGATGCAGCAGTGGCTGTGTTCTGCCCGGCAACTTCTGAAGCTTGCCGATCTCTTCTGGGGGCGTGTGATGGTGGATTAACCCCCCCAAAGCTCCTCTCCTTCACGTGGGAATGGCTTGCCTGTTTGCTGCCTGCCTGCAGGCACTGATGGCTCGGCTGTCTCCGGCGCAAACGGAATCCTAGAGCTCCGCTACTCAGTTGTGCGTGTCGAGAATTTAAAAGAATGATCAAATCACCTCTCATGGTGACAGAACTACAAGAATCGAAGCTGCTTTTGTGTGTAGAAGCTCTTGCTTCAAAGCAATTTCTGCACTTCAGAAGATCCGGAACTTGCTGTTGTTTGCAGCTATAATCGATGATGTGAGACATAAAAATAGGCATTTCATTTTAAGGTTACATTTATTTATCTCCAGTTCAGTACGCTGTGATAGAACACAACCTATTATCAACAGTCATGGCGTGGTTAGGCATCACGTGTTCAGTATGCTGTTTTCTAAGTGTATTGTTTGGCTTCCTAAAAAGAAAAGGAGGACTTGTGGCACCTTAGAGACTAACCAATTTATTTGAGCATGAGCTTTCGTGAGCTACAGCTCACTTCATCGGCTTCCTGTGTTTGTATGTTTTAAAATGATCTTAAATGCTCTTGTGGTCTGAGAACCAAAGCAACCTACTTAACCATTTAGTTGACTCTTAATGCCTTCATTTCCCCTTGTTTGTTATAACAGAACATGTTATTTCTAAACTTTGGTGCTGATCTTGCAAACACATTGACCTAAATGAGATTACTCAAGTAGGTAAAGTCACACATGTGTTTGTGTTGGCAAGATTGGTCTTAGACTACACACTTTGGGAGCAGATATGTCTGTCTGTAAAGTGCCATCCATGAATGTTTTGACCTTGTCAGCATTAAAGACTTCTGGAAATTTTCTGACCATTGCACTAGTAATGGTAGGAGACAGGAGATGCTAATGTAAATCACCTGCTGCTGGCGTTCTTTCCGTTCTGTCTCATCTAACAATGCTCAGAGCAGGTCTAGAAAAAATATTAAAAGCATTGGTGGTACATGGTCACCACCTGTTCTTTCTCTCTATTGCTTGAGCAATGGGGGAGAATTTCCCAAAATCCTCATTGTTGACAAGACTGTATAAAGTTTTTTTTTAAAAAAAAAAAACCACCTTGTCAGTATTTCTAAACGTGCATATTATCTCGGTATCTAAGTGTGCCAACCAGATCATACTACTTCTCATTGGAATACAGGAATTAATAAGGGGTCAAGATCAACTGAGTGGCTAAGGCTCCTGGTTTGGTTCACAGAATTGATGTAGTCCTAGTGTATGAGATCACTTAAGCATCTAAAAACGTGAGAGAGAATTCAAAGAACATACATTAGCTAAAGGAAGATACTGTGTTTGGGATGCCTAACTACACACGAACTGCATTGAATACTGATATCTGATTATGCATTTCTATCATTTTCTGGGTTAATATTGAGGGATGGAAGGACAGAAAAAAAAGCAACAACAGAGAAAAATAAAAGTATTTCTGATCTGGCTCCCTGCTCTGGAAAGAAGAGATGGTGGCTCGGTAATCTGAGCCACCATCTTTCCTTCTGGAACAGGGAGCCAGGTCTGGCGAGTTCTAGCTTTTTTTTTTTTTTTTTTTAGGAGTTAAGCATGGACATACACATACATGTGTGTTATCTTCCATTACATTGCCTTACTCAAATATACATTCTTGCATTTACACTTAAACTAATTTATTATTAACATAAATGTATCTACCTAATGTATCTACCTAATGTATAGGATTTTTGTAACATAATCAATATTTTCACATACTTGAGTGGACCAAAATTTGGGTGAAAATGGGTAAAAACCCAATAATAGCTTTTATAAAACAAGAATCTGGTAAAAATCATTAAAAAACCAAAAATGAAGTGTCAAACCCATGAGGTAAGTAAGATTATCCCCTTTTTATAGAAGAGAAACTGAGGCAGAGAGTTTGTGCTTCACAGTGGTGAGCCCATTAAAAATACCTAGATAGAGGTTTCTCTTTGCCCAAGGTCACACAGTGAATGAGGGTCAAAGCCTGTATTAGAGCTTTGGTACCACTCACTCACTACACAGTGCTCCTCTTTCCTGTCTTGACTAGTATCTCAAAAAGATGCTGTAAAATATTTGTATATAGTCTTTTAGAAGGTAGACTTCTCTCTGCACTGCTTGTAATAATAAATTCTTAAATACCATGTGTACATCAATTACTTTATTTGGCTATCCCACTCTAATTTTAGTGGAGCATTGCATGGCTTTGTGATTAGCCCTTCATAGAGTTTAATGGTGGCTGCAATGCCAGCTATGGTGTTCAGGTACTGATATTTCTGGCAAGTCTGCAAAAATAAATATCCTGTAAAAATTAAGAGTTGTAGATTTGTTATTTAATAACTAGAATTAGGGGATGCGTTCTCTTTTTTTTTAAACAAAAATAGTTCAAGCTGTGGATCTAAACTACTTGACAGTTTCCTTTCCAATTATTTTTTTACACTTGCAAGGAAGGTTGTAGTGTAAATAATGCAGAACTGCTGATCTTTGCTGCTAGGAGTTTTCTGCTCATTTCATCTGGCCACAAAGAAAAGATTTGTTAAAACTCAATTTTGGCTAGAATTGGCACTAATGTAGATACTAAACCGTCGTTTACGCAGACCTTGCTTGCAGTAGTTGAAGGGAACAGCTGCAGTCTCTTCTGCTGCTTACAGCTACCCAGGCTTCCTCTTTTATACCCTAACTCAGGTATAAAATTATTTATCTGGTGATTCATTTTTTGTCAGTTTGAGGGAAGTTAGTTATCTGCATCATGACACTAGAATTTGTAAGCTGCTACCATCACCCCAGAATAATTTAGTACTGTGCCAAATTGTCGCTTCACAAACCAGAAAATGGTGTATAATATTTTTGTTGCTGCAATCAAACTATTCACAACATGTTGAGGTTCATTTATAGCAATGCTGCACTTGAAGTGGAGTTTACACAGTGTGTAAAGTTTTGTTTACACAGTGTGTAAAGTTGAGTGCATGTCTTTACAGGATAAGGGCCTTTTTTGGTACTTTTAATCAAGGATCTTAGAGTACTTTACAACAGTGGGTAAGTGGCAATTTTCTATTTTATAGCTGTGTAACCAGGTAACAGAAGTTGAGTAACAAGGCATCACCTCAATTCAGCAAGAGGCAGAGCTCTACTGGAATCTACCTACTGTGCTTTAGTCGAACAGCTTCCCTTTTCTCCAGTAATAATGTATATCTATATAGCATTAATATATTTAATAACTTCTTAAATTGATGTTCAGCAAAAGTCAGCATTTTCCTCACGTTAAGGGTGTTTATGCCATAAATGGGGTAATGTGATCATTATGTAGTAGGCTGAGCACACATCTACAAACCAGGAACTCCAAGGCTCTAATCTCAGCTCTGATATTGAGCTGTGTTGGCCTTGGGCAACTCATTTTAACTTCTGCATGTGTGTGTTTTCTTTTCCATCTGCAAAAGAGGGATGATGATTGTCTGCCTCACCTCAGAGTGAGGATGAACTAGTTCGTGTTTAAGGAGTTCAGTGCTAAATGACCGTGTTTTCACATAACACTTACAAATGGGTTCTTGTATCCATGCTAAGATACTTATTATATGATATTGCTAAACTTCACTAGACCAGTTTAGGTACAATGCAAGGTCACTGTGACTTGTAGCCTCTTTCAGCTACTACATTTTACTTCCGTCTGCATCATATTAGCTGAATCACTTCATGCTATACTTAGCCACTTTACTGTGCGTTGTTTTGTACTGTACCCTAAAATTCTATCTGTATTTACATTGTTTTACTTTGTTGCTTTACTGTGTACAAGCATTGTCTACATAGTGTAGATTGTCTTTTAAACAATTTGTTGTGTATCCTAGTTACAGTACACTTTTCCTCATTGTGTGTTAATGTCACAATTGATTATTGCAGCACCTGATGATGTCAGTGTTGTGAAAGAGTAGACAGTATTTCTGTTATAAAACCCAACCTGTAGGATTTTAAAACTTGTCTGTGTTGGAATTTTGGAATTCAGCCTAATCATGAGTAGATGGTTCTCCCCTCTACTCCCCAATCTGGTTTAAATGTTTCTTTTGGAATGCATGTCCTTCAGCTTCTGTACACTGATTTTTTTTTTTTCACTTGACTACTAGGAATGACACATTAATTATTTTATATTCAATTTAAAATGCCTATTATTTACCAGTCATACCAGTTGTTTTTTATTCATTAACTTTGTTAGAATGTAGAGTTGCTTGATTATTAAACTCTGACACCAGCTCCTGACTCTTAAAGTAAAGGCTAAAAAATACAAGGATTGAAAGTGTGTGAGGGTGGTGATTTTGATTCAAGGAGATTTTTCATTCACTTCATCTTCTCTCCAGTTCAGGATTTATGCCTATGAGTCTGAATAACCGCAATTTAACGAGTAAGAGTGAGTTTATCTCAGGAGTGGGATGATGGTGGCTAGTGTTGATCTGTAGCCTACACAATAATGTTTTTCAGTGAATAACTTCTAAATATTTGGCATTTGTTTTTAAATTTGTCACTCCTGTTTGTATTTCAGACATAATGAAACTTACCAACATTGATTTTATATGAACAAGTTTGCTGTGATTAGTAAAATAATGCTAAATCACTTCAGATTTAAATGGAATGAAGTAACTTTGATAAGTACAGTTTTGTAATTCGTTTTGTCAGATAGCAAACACTACATTTCACATATATTAGAAACAAAACATGATTTGATTGCTCAAATTTTTATATAATGTATGATATGCAAAAATCTGTTCTCAAGTACTTAACATTTCTCTAGTGCTTTCCACTCAAAGATCTCATAGTAGTTTACAAACATTAATAGATTAGTCTCACAACCCCACTGTGTCATGAGACTAATCTCCACTTACAGCTAGGGAGACTGAAGCACAATTAGTGAAGTGACTTGCCCTAGGTATCCGTACTAATTTGTAGTTTAACCATTATTAGCACCTTTTTTCAGAGTAACAGCCGTGTTAGTCTGTATTCTCAAAAAGAAAAGGAGTACTTGTGGCACCTTAGCTCACTGTAGCTCACGAAAGCTTATGCTCAAATAAATTGGTTAGTCTCTAAGGTGCCACAAGTCCTCCTTTTCTGTTAGCACCTTGCCCTCCTTCTGACTCTCAGTTCTTTTCTTTTAAATCCAGAGTCTCTGCAAGAGAGACAATAGTTATTTTTAAACCTGTTACTCCTAAAATGCATTGTGCGTGTGAAAGCTTTGTGTGTTAAAGATATTTCAGTAGTTGTTGGTCAGTTGACCTACAAATATTCAACCAGTCAAATATCAACTTTGCTTACCTCTGTGGAGGAAACAAATCCACCAGAGAGCAGAACGAATTTCCGCTTGCTTGAATTACCCTTGTGGAATATTTTAACAAACTCAATTTATCCTACTGATGTAATCAAACAAACATGTAGGCTTCTTTTTTGTTTTTCTTCTTGGACTCTTGAGGACACACAGATCTGGTCGCTTTTCTTTCGACCATTCTGTGTTGACAGTTTTAGCGCACAGAGTGCTGTACCTCACAAGCCCAGCATATGCATCAAATTGTAAATGTAACATGCTATTTTAATGTGGTCAGCTACTTTTCGGATAGCTGTGTGTGCATGTGTGTAATAAGATCCAGGAATCAATACTCTTACTTTTCTCCAAAATCTTTCATTTTGCAGTATATGGTGATGTCTTCTCAGGTTTCAGTGTGAATGCCCCCAGAGCAATACTCCTTTTAAACTCTCAGCCTGGCCAGAAAGAGAAGTTGTATACTTTCAGATGCGAGCCTGTAATTTAAAATTGAAAACAAAAAACGAGGATTTGATTTTAAAAGATATTTACTTTTGTTTTTAAATTTAAAACAACTATAGTTATTTTTTAAATCACTTGTATATGTTCCATGACTACTTTTGTATAAAATCTTTTACATATGCTCTTTTATTGCACTTTTCATGCATGATCTCAAAGCCACTTCCCTACAAAGCCACATTTTACAGAATGGGAACCTGAAGTACAGAGTTTTGGGACCCTCACACCCTGCAGGGTTCTAGAGCCAGGGCTCCAGCCTGAGCCTGGAAGTCTACACAGCAATGAAATACCCCTGTGAGCCCGAGTCGGCTGGCACAGGCCAGTGGCTGGTGTTCCTTTGCTGTGTAGACACACCCTTAAGGTCACACAGTGAGCGTTAGCATATATAGGAGTAGAACCTAGGTCTCCTGTTCCTCAGTCCCATGCCTTTTGCATGTGTTTCCTTCCAGTTTAGTATGTCCATATGCTGAGCATACACAAATACATGCTCACTATGTCTTAGTTACATGAGAAAAAATGTAAATATTCCATCTGCTTTTCAGTCATTGTATTGTTTAGTGTCAGTAATCTGCAGATTAGAGCTCCTTAAATGACATAGTAGAATGTAACCATTTTGAAGGAGCTGTAATGGACTCTGATGTTGATAATCCATGGAGTAAAGAAGTCTGTCTTTTCACTGTGGTTAGGGTTGCCAACTTTCCAAATGCAGAAAATAGAACAACCTTACCCAGCCCCCTTGCCTGCCCCTTCCTGAAGCCCTGCCCCTACCACACCCCGTTCTCCGAGGCCCCGCCTGGACTCACTCCATTCCCCCCCCTTCTGTCGCTCACTCTCCCCCACCCTTGCTCACTTGCTCATTTTCACCTGGCTGAGCAAAGGGTTGGGGTGTGGGAGGGGATGAGGGCTCTGGCTGGGGGTGTGAGGGCTCTAGCCTGGGGCTATAAATGTGGGGATCAGGGTGTGTGGGGGGGCTCTGGGCTAGGGTGGGGGGCTGGGGTACAGGGGGGATGAGGGCTCTGGCTGGGGGTGGGGCTGTGGGTGTGGGGTGCTGGAGGAAGTTCGGGGTGCAGGCTCTGGGCTGCGCTTACCTCAGGTGGTTTCTGGAAGTGGCCGGCATTTCCCTCCAGCTCCTTCGCGGAGGCGCGTCCAGGCAGCTCTGTGTGCCTCCCCAGCCTGCAGACGTTGCCTGCGGTTCTTAGCCAATGGGAGGTGTGGAACCGGCACTTGAGGGGGGGGGCAGCGCGGAGCCCACATGGCTGCACCTCTGTCTGGGAACCAGAGGGAAGTGCCAGCCACTTCCAGGAACCACGCGGGAGCCAGGGCAGGCAGGGGAGCCTGCCTTAGCCCTGCTGCACCACTGACCGGACTTGTAACAACCCCGTCATGCTGACCGGAGCTGCCAAGACACCTGTCAACCCTAACTGGTGATGGTTTTTACTGTTTAAAGATATGCGGGGGAGGGGTTTTGAGAGAGAAAATGAAGGCATTCTCTGTTACAGTAATTAGTTAATTTTCCTTTATCACCCTCTTTGCCTTCCCTCAAACTTCACTGGCTTGATTGGTTCTTCTGTGTCAAGTTCAAGTTACTTGACCTTTTTCAAGGCTCTCAGTAACTCAGCCATATTTAGTGTGTCTGTCCATATGTCACCCTATCTCCCCTCTTCCTCATTATTCATTTAAATCTTCTGTTGTCATGCCTTCTTTTATGCCATCCCTTACAAAGTCCCATTTCTCTGTGCCAAATACCCTTTCTTTCCTCCTTTGCACATCTAAAGTACTTTTCAGATAGATTGTTAACTTTGAGGGGCAGAGTCCCTGTGGTTTAAGCCTTTTGTAAAAGGGGTGAGTCCCCTTGTCATTCTATGAATAATGCAGCTAGTATTTTCAGTGCGATTTGCTCATGGCTCAGTTTGACTTTGTGTACCCTCGCCCTCTTAATGCCCTTGACTGACTGGCCTGGAAGTATCTCTTAAAATTCAGAGCTTCCAAACCACTCAGTATTTTTTTTTAGTCTATATTTATGCTTTTTTTTTTCTTCACTTTTAGATGAGTTAGCCCTCAGAAAATAGTGAATTCTTTACCAGTTACACAAGCACATTCTGGCATGACATCTCTTTCCCCTGGTGTTGTATAATCAATGCGTTTGAAATAGTCTGTTCAAAAAATGTGTGAAACTCACTTTTGCTGGTCAAGTTAGGTCAGATCTACACACAAAATTGCACTGATTTACTGAATGTCTTGATGTTGAGCTGATGCAACTTTGTGCATGAGTGTTCTTAAGTAGGTTGTAAATGTATCCACATGCAGTTTCACTGGCTTACCTAAATAAGTTAACATCACATGTTTGTTTAAACCTTTGTAATTTCTGTGTGTGAACAGGTTTGTTTACATTAGGTCATGGGATGTAAACTGAAATGCCAACTTCCACATATGTTTCAAAAATGTCCTCGTGTATTTACAAGTGTGGTGATCACATGAATATGGAGCCTCAGCACTACAGTGCAGAAGCACTTTATAAATACTTAGATCAGTAACTGGGGGTATCAAATATTTTTTTTCCTCATTTCCACAAATTTTGTCCTAAGAGCTTGCTTTAAACAAACACGAGTTAGCATGGATTGATTTATTTTATTTTTTTTCTCATACACCTATACTGGTTAAAGGTAATGGCATTTTTAGCTGACTGCTTCAAAGGAATAAGCTAGTTAAGCAAATAAAATATTCAAAACAAACAACTGCAGATAGTAAACAAATACATTGGGTGCCAGTTTTTCCAGTGTTCTGCGCAACTTACTCCCCACCCTTCTTCCAGAGATGACACATTAAAATATAGTAATGTGATAATTACTTTTTTCTCACCACAAAAATGCTCCTGTGTTTTATCAAGAGTTGACAACATGTGTTCTATAAAGTGTAGTTGCTTATGCAGAAATAGTTCATATTCTAAGGTCTATGGTTTAGTATCCTATATGATATCTTGTTTGCATTGCATTTTGTTTCCATCTCACATTTATTGAGGATTGCATGTATAGCACTGTGCAGACTACCCATACAGCTTAGAATATTTTTTTTTCTATTCATACAGTGTCTGTTGTGGAAGACACTGTTGATCTAGCGGTTAGAAAAAGGGGCTTGGAGTCAGGAATATTGGGTTTTGTTCCTGGCTGTGCTGCTGAGTTGCAGGGAGCTTGTGCAAGACACTTAACTTTACAGTGTGCATGTTTTTTCCATCTGTAAAATCTGAAGACTGCACAACTCACATTAGCTGGGTGAAGCTTGTTTATAAAATACTTAGCATTTTTTTTCTATGAGTATGTCAATCTAAATGCAAAGTATTATGGCATCGAGGAAAGCTTGTAGAACAGTTTCCTAATACTTTAATGTTCTATTACGCTGACAAAAGTTGTTTACATTTATTAGAATGGATGGTTTCTTACATTCCTTTTCACAGCTCAAACAGGTGAGTCTCAGGTTTATAGGAATGAGATAAAGTGGTTCTGTACTGTAGGCTATAGGCAACCTTCACACTGATTTCTCTTTTCTGCATAAAATGATTCATCTCAAAGAATAACTATAGCAGGAAAATGTGATTTATTGGTAAATTCAGTACTTGTAATCCTCCATTTTCTCTCAACAGATTCCTGCTAGAAGTCCTGGCACATAAAGAAGAGTTGTGTTCAGTGGACAATGCTCAGAGACACTATGAAGTCCTGGAGTGACAGCCAGACAGACATTTACAGCAGTGACCAAGAAGAGGAAGAAGAAATGATCTTTGGAGAAAATGAAGATGATTTGGAAGAGATGATGGATTTAAGTGACTTGCCTACCTCACTCTTTGCTTGCAGTGTGCCAGAAGCTGTGTTTGAGGTACAAGAAGAAAAGGTAAGAGTACATAGGGTATAGTGATGTAAATTGGTGCAATTGTAGTTAGAACATATTTTATCTAAATTTTCAGTATTATTACTTATTCTAGCGGGTGAAAAATAACTAGATTTGCTAACGAGTTCAAATTGTCTTTCAGTGCTGCTTGCCAATGAATTCAAATAGCCCGTCTGCATGCTGATCTCCTGCCTTACATTTTATGGTCCAGGGAGAACTCAAATATTTGATTCCAGGACAAGGATCACTGTTAAAAGAATTGTATTTGTTCACAGTATACTTTGTCAGACCCAATGAATAAGAAATAACAATTTGAAAGTGATTTAAAATTTCTAGTCCAAACAAGGCTTCTTTGGACCATTATCTTATTTTTTTTATTCAGTCAGACATGAGGTTATCCTTTGCTTCTAATGGCAATCAGGAAGAATCTTCTATAGCACATGAGTTCTGTAGACTGACAAAACAAACTATGGCTGAAATGTGAGCGGTTTATGTAATGGAGGAGAGCTTGATCTGTAACTTCCTTCCAGTTTTCATTCACAAAACTATGAATCCTACTACAGTTCTGTCTAAAATTTTGCATGCTGCCTGGGGGAAGGTGTGGTATCAGCTAGGAAACATTGGTCTGCAAATCAGGGATGCTAGATGGTGTCCTTCCATTTAAATCAGCCTCTTAAAGGCAGTGGCAGCGAACTGCACTCCTAAACTATTAATCGCAACAAACAAAGCTATTGAAACTCTACCAAAGATATTTATAGGCTGCTAATTGCAATAGATGCAAAACACAATTATAAAGATCATCAAATTGGATTCCACTCTTACCATCCTAGGGTTTCACTTAAACTTGACCATCCTTTCTTCCCTTCTTCCTCCTTTTTTCTTCCCCTTCCTTTATCCTCCCTTCCGTCAATTATTACAAGGAAACTTCTGCCAAAATGCAGGTTTTGCACTGGACTCTGAAGCTGGGCAGACTAAGACTCATTCTCATCCAGCAGGTGTTTTACAATCTAGGACCCCAGCACTGAGAATGCCTTACTGACAGCTCACCCTAGAGATCCTTGTAGTTTCCATTTCCTGAGGCGAGGGATTTCTGGAGCAACGGCTTGAAATATATGATCTGACTGCAGACAGTAAATGCTGATACTGTAGTCCTTATTCTGTAAGGGAAAGAATGTCAGGCCTATGATTTATAATGCCACTTAAGTATCAATATATTTGATTAGGGCAGCCTTACAAAATTCTGCTCACCTGCTTCCCCATGATAAGTAGGTTTGGATTTTTTTTGTTTTTTTGCAGAAAAGTAAAATATCATTATTTTTTCTTTTATCGTGACAAAAAGCAGGCAAGTAGATTTTGTTTGTGGACAGGTGTATTTTTTGGGACAGTTTTGTGCGAGGCTGGATTAGATATCTTCAAATTCTGATTTAGTAACGCATGTTAAAATTGCTGCCAAAACATACATGTTTATGTCAAACACTCTGTGAAGCACTGGCTTGATTGTTAAGTTTGATTGGGGGGAGGGATAGCTCAGTGGTTTGAGCATTGGCCTGCTAAACCCAGGGTTGTGAGTTCAGTCCTTGAGGGGGCCATTTAGGGACCTGGGGCAAGAATTGGGGATTGGCCCTGCTTCAAGCAGGGGGTTGGACTAGATGACCTCCTGAGGTCCCTTCCAACCCTAACCTCCTATGATTCCAAGTTCTGTGGGTTGAAGATCAATTTTACCTGCGTTTCTTCTGAAAGAAATATTAGAAGAAAGTAAATAATTTCTTTAAACAACCTGTTTCATCGACAATATTTTTTTAAATCTAACACCTCTCTTCCCCGCACCCTCCCACACATATTATTTACCAGTTTAAGTGTTAGTTTCCCTCTACCGTCTTTCCCTTGGAGAGGAGCAATCCTGTAGTTGTATCCCAAATCAGAAATTCATATAGAAACGAATTTGACTTGTCCAATGCACTCATTATCCAAAAATGTCAGTGCCCCGAGATATGTGGATAATTGAGTTTTACATCTAATACTTATATATCACTTCATATTTCCAAAACACCAGACAAATATCATAATGCCTCTGAGATATAGGTATATGTAATTATCCCCATTTTTAGAAAGGGAAACTGAGTTACAGAGGGTGAGAGTAGCTCAAAACCACACAGCAGGCCAGTCTTAGAGCAGGATTAGAATGTAGATAGATGTTCCTGGATCCCATGACTGGGTGGAACAAGACTATTACTTTTCTCGCTGATACAGTTTGGTGCTGTAACTAATTATTCAAGGCACAATGAAGGGCTCTAGCCTTGTGGTAATAATGTATCTTTGTTAGAGCTAATCACACAAAGAATTTTTTTGTGAAAAAAGCCAACTTTTCAGCAAAAAATTGAAAACTGAATAATCTGGCCAAAACACAAAGTAGTTTGATTTGGAAATACAGCAGAACTCCATTTATCCAATCTAATTGGGACTGGGGCCAGATTGGATCATCAAAAATTTGGGTAATCTGGAGAATGGCTGCAGCACCATCTAGCTGCCACAGGAGAGATCATCTGCTTCTGGACCTGTGTGCACTTGTTGTTCGGTTAATAAGGAAAGCCAGATAATGGAGGGTCAGATAAAGGGGCTTCTACTATACTGGTGTGGTGTTTCATGGGGATTGTAGTTCATGTGCCTTACACTGCCGTTCTCCTCTATCAGCCAGGCTCTCTGGTCAGATTACATCTTCCATGATGCTTCATACTGTCCTCTCTGTGAGGGGAGCCAGTGCATCATCGGCTTTGGTCTAGTGACCATGGTGCATCATGGGAGATTGTCTGGCTGGGAAGCCTGGTCCACATAGGAGAATGGAAACATGAGGCAACCAGAATAAAATGCCTGTGAGATAGCATGGCATCCTGTCCCAACTGAGATATTTTGGTATTCAGCTAAAATATTTTTCGTTTTTGGTCCAAAATTGAAATCTTTTTGTTTTTTACACTTTCTTTTGTTGAAAAATCAAAATTTTCTACAGCAAGAAGACAATTTTAATGAAAAATGTTGTTTAATTGAAAACCCAGTTTGGCATCGAAAAACAATTTTTGTGGATAAAACTTAATCTGCCTTAATCAGCCTTAATCTGTATATATAGTTTTGTTCATTCCAAAGCACTTCATAAACATACATGCAGCACCACAGAAATGCTGCCATCTCTGGGATGAAGGGTAACAGCCAGGCAGTGTACATGGCATTGCATAACAGTGGGAGAAGGGAAAACAAGGGGCAAGTTCCTGATCTTATTAAGTGTCTTGGGATTTCTTGTGTCCTCATAGAGCAGACAAGGCCTCTGATGAAAAGACCTACACACAGCGAACAGCATAGAGCTCAATTTATCTGCCCCATAAAGGTAAAGAGCTCATCCATCCCTTCCTAAATCGGAAACTGTTTCCAGGGAATCTCGATATTTCAGCATCTTGCTGTAGGACAACTTAAATAACAAACTTGTGCTGCATATTAGACTCTGGAGTTGGGATTCAGCCTCCTACTCCCAGAAATGGAGGTGGACAGCAGGAGGTCAGTGCAGAGTGCGTGTGTACGGACTCTCTCTGCATGTTCATGACCCCTAGATAGAAACAAGGCTGGTAATCTAGATCTAATTTTAGGCCTACCTGCCTAGAGTGCCCATTTAATAGGTAACCTACAATTCAGTAAGGATGCTCTTGTCAAAGATGCTTCACTAGTGGTTTTGACAGCTCTTTATATATCTAGTAGTAAACTATATTGGCCCATGGGATAAGAGTGCATTTTTTTTAGGCTTTGCAAATCCAAAAGAAAAGCCTCAAGGAATGAGGACTCTTATGCAAAGGTTTACTGGTTACAGTACTCTAGAAATATCAAATCTTAATCATCCCTCTTCTTTTACTGCAGTTCAGATAAAACCGCAGATGGCCTGTGTTTAAGAGTCTTTGAAAGGGAAAGGGTATTCTAATCTTCTGACCTATGTCCTGAATACAAATGATACTAAATATAAAAGTGAAATATTGCTAATATGGCTTTGTGACTTTCAGGCTTTTTCCCTTGTTAACATCTGTCCATAATTTCATAACTGCCCTCCAAATAACTTACTGGTAGCTATCTATCAGTTTTATACGTCTTTCCTGCTTGTTAACAGATCACAGGAAGGCCCTGCCCATGCTGAAAACCATGTCTAAATACAGTTGTTGCTAACAGAATTCTACCATGGCTTCCCTAACCCCAGAGGAGAAATACATTTTTTTTTTTAAAAAAGAACCACACTAGCCAAGCCATGTTATAGAGCCACTAGCCTCCATAGCCCAGAATGCAGTTTTATAATACAGTTCTAACACAGTTTTCAGATTGAAAAAAATCCCTGCCTAAACTGGTAATGGAAACAGTGCTAGAATTCTGTTGGCAATAAGTGTTTAAATACATTTCAGATCCTACGGTCTTGGAGGTCTTTTTTTCTTCATTACCCTTGATCACAGAGGCCTATATCACGGTCTTCACTGCATTTTTTCCGGTGTTAGGAAAATGTCTTTCAAAAGCAGGTTTCAGAGTAGCAGCCGTGTTAGTTTGTATTCACAAAAAGAAAAGGAGTACTTGTGGCACCTTAGAGACTAACAAATTTATTTGAGCATAAGCTTTCGTGAGCTAGAGCTCATTTTTAAAAACTTTCTTGAAACATTATTGTACCCGATGATTGGGATAAGACTTGGCTTACGGAGACCAGTCCATTTCAAATCACGGAGAGTGAACTTAAAGAATTACAAAAGGAGAAGTTATGCTCAAGGTGGGCTGCTCAGAATATATCAGCAAGATATAAACCCGATTAAACAATTCACAGAACAGAGAGTGTATATCCCTGCAAAATATACAGGTCGGCCAATTTCCCTTCTCCCAAATAGGAATCTGTAAGATAGCATCAGCAATTTCAGGGAGTAGGGATTTCAATCCCTAGCTCCCCAACATCGCTTCCAGTGGGGAGGGGTAGAGGCAAAAGAGCCCAGCATCCT